TGAGAAACTTTTATTTTATTTAGAGACTATTATTACCCATATTGGTGAAAACAAAAATTTACAATATTAGATGATAGCAAAATATTAGAATTGACGTGAATGTCGCAAAAAAGGTCGTTTCGTAAATTATTGAAAATTCCAATAATTGCACAGAAATCCATCAGCGTTCTGGTATTAAATTTACTTCTATATTTTATGACATTCAAAAAAAAAAATTTATGTATATATATACACATATATGCTTGAGATTGACAGCAGTTTATTTCACAGAATATCGAAGAAGTGTTATTTAAAAGATACTTCATAAAACATCCAAAGTGTAATATTCTTCTTCGTATAATATTTATACAACACCGAGGTTCCATTCTTTTAACAATATTCGCATAAATATATAATCACAAAGTATAGAGAATTTCAATATTTCCAATCTCAAGTAATTTTCAAGATGTAATCTTCGTTTTTCTTCCTGATCGACTCCATTCCATCAATCACACTGACAAATACACTGCTCAAGATAGCTTAGAAAATAATTCTATTTAAAGACACGCAGATTTTATTATTTAATGAATTACAATTGGACGTTTACGTACTATGGTATACACGTATATCGATTTCGTATATACGCGAGCGTATTCTCGCATAAACGAATACAGCCCATAAACTAACTATAATGAAAGCGTGCGCAATAATTGCTTCTATTCGACCTTGTTTCCGAGTTGCAGCCGCTTTTTGCGTTGCAAGCGATTCTACACGGCCGCAATTGGAATCAGCGCTTCGTATCTCATGCGTGATATCGTTCCCTACAAACGGTTTCACAGTTTTCTACGAATCATTCCAACGCGTCATGAATTTCCTCAAACGCGTACAAGAAAATTTTCTTGGAAGCTCTTGCTTCAAAGAGCCAGAAAATTGGGTCGATCGATAAATAAGATTCGCGCAAATTTGAAGATATTTCAATTTCTTTATATACACTCTGCAAAAAAAAAAAAAAAGAAGAAGAAGAAGAAGAAGAAGAACTAATATTCCAAAGTACCAAAGTGTCATATCTGCTGGAATATGAGATATATTTAGAATGCAAAGAATTTTATTCAAAGAATCAATGATATTTCTTCTTCTTCTTTTTTTTTTTTTTTCTTTCTTTCTATTAATATATCTGGCGCAAAAGATTCTCTATCCCGTTATTTTTAAAATTCGAAAATAAATTCGGTAAAATGGAGCGAGCAACACTTCGTTCTTTCGGTGCGAATGCATCTTACAAAATCTTGCCAGTCACGAAATCTCACGAACTCCAAAATAAGAATGTAATTTTTCTATTAAAATCATCTTAAAATCGAATAAAGGAATTCATCGCGAAAACCATTTACGAACTTACTATTACGAGCTTTATTTATTGCGTGAATTGTACCGAGCAGTGTATTTCACCGGAGAGTTTTTTCTTTTTTTCTTTTCAAATACGAATGTGTTCCATCCCATTCATTCCCGCGGTCGATCCCCGCGTCTCGATTATTTTACGCGAAGAATAATTTCCGTGAGAGAATTACCGCGATTTCGTGGCGTTGATTCAAGTCGATTCAGTCGACTCTATCGAACAAAAATGATTAGGAAATTCCAAGAGACGTCTGCTTCGGCATATTATATATATATATATATATATATATACACACATATGATATTTATTCAAGGAAATTTCATTCTCACTGTCAGATGTTCTTTAACACATAGGTACCTGAACGGTTCGACTATTTATTAATTTGTCAAGGCTGCGTAAACAATCCCAAAGAGTAAAAGATGCTATTTTACGTATTCGTGCGATGACGAATTCTCATAGGTATCTCTTAAGCGTGGTAATTGCCGTGGCGATTCACACAAATTGTCATACGATGATTTTTACTACTGAGGAACCGAGCGGAACAATGAAAAATCATTTCTTTTCTCCGTTTCCTGTAAATATTCAATCTGAATGTTCTTCGCGATAGGAAATTCTATGGAAATCGCGAAGAGCCTCGATTAAAACGAATGCCTGTCAATCCTAAATATGTTTCAACCCTGCTACGATCTTTTCCACCGACTTCTCAACAATTCACAATCGTAATTTCAACCGCGCGGGAACAAAACGAATTTCCAATGTCTCAACAACATGTTCGGCCGAGAAATCACGCGCTGGGAGCAAGAAGTTTTTTTCAAATTTTCGGTCAAACGTCTTCATTTTAGGGGAGCTACAGTCGAGTCGAGAATGGAATCGAGAGAAGAACGTAGCGGGGTTAAGTTTCGAGAAAACTTGAACAGCGAATCGCCTGTTCAATGTATATTCTGAAAAATCTCACGCAGAGGGACAGAAAAAATGAAAAGAATCTTTAACAAAGAATCTCTGGAGGGACACTGTCAAGCGAAAAATAAAATAAAAAAAGAAAGAAAAGAGAAAACCTACGGAATCCAGAGTAAATTTGGAAGAGTTTTTTAAACAAGTAGAATCGTCCTAAGCTCCGGAGAATAGTCTAACGAAGACGAAAGGAGGAATAAATATATATTCCAAAGTGAACTATACATATCAAGCAGCGAACGATAATTTTCATTACTGACATATTTACAATTCGCGGCGGCGGTACGCGACTTTAAACGCGGATTTAATTCTTGAATTAATTAGATTTAAAGAAAAACCGATTTAAACAAGCGATCCGATCGAAGAGTCGATTGAACAACGACGAACCGTCGTATCGGAACGATGAAACTGTGAAGCTATCTGCTGAGGTGATGATGAAACAAGGGTGGGAAATGCTATACGTGGGAAGAGACGCGAACCAAGACACAAAAGAAAGAAAGTCTACGTTTATTTTACAACGTACTCAAGAATGTGTGCGAGAACAATGAACACAAGAATCCGAAGATCTAGCTGCTTATTTAGATTATACACATTTAGAACGATCTACTCTCGTGATAAACTGATAGGGTCGAAGCTGATGAAAGTTACGAAACACGCAATAGAGACAGACTGCGTGAAATTATGGGGATGATCGATGTCTACACGTCGAGCGGCGTTTGTAAAATGGGTGTGTCGTTGAAAAGAACAAGAAAGAAAAAGAAAAAAAACGAGAAAACTATTATTTCGTTTGAACGTTGTACGTCATCAATGGGACATATTTAATGATCGATTTAATATTGAAGGTATAATCATTTGTTGTAAAAGTATTACAACTCTTATTTTAATCATATTTTTTTTTTTTTATTGATATTGATTTCAGACTCTTAAGAACAATTGTGATCTATTTTTTTTTTTTTTTTATAGTTTTCAACGCTCGATCGATCGTTAAATTCGACCCTGAATATAAAGAAAACATTTTCTATGCGTAGGAAGACAAAATTTAAAGAAGATACAGTGTCGATTGTCGTGGAAATAGATAAACCGTGCGATTCTTGTTTTTCACCAAAAGTGACTTGCTTGCAACGAAAGGCTTGGCTCGAGCGTTATTTGAAAATACATTGTGCAACAGAAACTACCTTTCGTAACAATGTTCGCGAGGTAGACACGTAAAAGATCTACCTCGACTAATTAGCTACCGACCGCTTATGAATCGCAACGAACACGATTCCAAATCACTGTTGCGTGCTGAACGCCGGTTAACTTCGAGTTCTACGTACGAGACTGTACTAAATTATGCATGTAAAGAATGATTAACGGTGGAGAGGGGGGAAAGGAGGGGGGAAAAATATCTGAAATTAAGTAACCTGACATTGGTAATGTACTCGTTGCTCGCACGATACTCTGTGCAATTAATATTTACAGTATCGCGTAGAGACACGAGGAATTCTGACCCATTTTCTTGGGAAAACCACGAGGTGAAACTCTGCCGTTTCGATTCTACTTTCTCAAACTACTAAAAATATAGTCTCCGTCAAGATTTCCAGGAAATAATGAAAGTTGTACGTTTCGTACAACTAACTGTATCATAGTTTTTTCGTCTGACAATTGAGCAAGCTATTGGTCAATGAGAAATGCGTGGAAAAGAGAAAGTGAAAAATTCTAGATATCAATTAAGAAATCTACGTACGTAGAAAACGTCCGCAAAATTCAATCGTTCTCGTTAGTCTGTAATTGTATCGACGATAAATACGTATTTACTCTCGTCACCTTTAATTTATTTATTGATAACACTTGTATTGAACTTTGTGATTTCGCCAACAACCAAAGAGAAAGATACCTGTTCTACTGATAATCGCGTATTTAAACGAGAATAATTTATACCCGAAAAGGAAACGGGTGATTTCACTCGGTTCGCGTGCACCCGAAAACGAGGAACGTCGTTCGTCGTGTAGACATCATGCGAATTTATACCTGTGAAAAAAATTATATGTGTAATAGTAGTAGCACCTCACCGTACTACAGTATTTGTCCATGTGTATAGGAGGGGAATTAATCGCGTAGCGTATGTCCGTGTATTTATTTGCCTGTTAACATTTCTGTTCGCGAGGAACCTAGTATCAAGATATGTACGTTCTAATAAGTAAGCGATAAAGAGATAGTCGATAAAAGAGAATGTGACACTTTGATATTGGGAGAATAGCCAGGGTCTATCTATAGTAATCTCAAGCTTTGCGTATGCATACGTTATTATATGCACGCGGCTGCATGAATAATCAGACGATATTTCGAATATCTCGAGTAATCGAAATGGATGATTTCGTCGAATAAACGACATTCAGATATTCGAATCAGAGCAATGAACTTGAATATCGTTTACTTGGCAATTTTCAGGCATCTCCGATCGTATTAATTATCGTAGATTGTTAGGTATAATTTAATTGATATTCTCCATTTCATTTCCGCTTGTTAGTGAAATTTTAACACGTTTGAATAAATTTCGAACACGCAGGTTTGAAACAAATCATAGTAGCGTTTAAATAACTGAAATGATATTGAACTTCTGATCGAGCTTGCTCGATCGATCGAATTATTTCAAATGTTTGTTATATATATACTATATAACTATACATATATATATATATATAACGGATTATTCGAACCAGTTCGATAAATAAATCTTTCTAAATCAATAGAAAAAAATTTGATTCAACTATTTTGAATACTCAATACATATCGAAATCGAACTTCGATTAATCGTATATATATCTCGAACGCTCTCGAGCGCGCTCGAACTTTCAACATGGTGTATAACACACTGCTGAAAACGTAATCGCTGATATCGTTCAAGTAAACACTTCGAATTTCCCATGAAAGTAACGCCATCAAGTAGTGAGATGGGATATAGGGGAAACAAACATCGAAAAAATAACTAGAAAGTCGAGCGGGAAAATACTATGAAATTTAAGCATTTTTAGGTTAACAATCTGTTGACTAGGATTCTATTAAATCACGTAGGACGAAAGTATGTTAAAAAAAAAATCGATCATTGATTTAATCAAGAGTATCGATTGTTACATTTAAGTGTTGTGTTTCAACGTGCGAATTAACCTCAAATTCACGCGGAGATAATTAAATCTCGAGAGTAACTGAACGTGTAATTGGAAAATTACGTTCTAAAAGAATTTATTTTCTAATTTAAGAATCGTTCGTACTCGAAACCATGAAGGCTACAAGCTCGACGTGCGTTGAAATAGGAAAATTTTTATCGGGAGCTAAAACTCGATTGTTTGCGCAAGAAAAAAACGAAAAAGAAGAAAAAAGAAAAAACGAACAAATAAGAAACAACGTTCGGTAACAATTATTACGTTAGTCGAATGTCCATCGTGTGTGTAACGTAATCTAGAGGAAAAATAGCGACGTATGTGTTACAAAAACATTCTTTAATAGAGGACGCCCGAATTGTGATACGTTTATAATGTTTGTAAGCCGATACCTGTTCACGGAACAAATTCATTCAAACGACGGCCCGTTGTTCAGCGATCGATTCCCGCTCAGCAATGTCACTGTTTACACTGCAACGATCTGCATCGATCATTTCTTGTTCTTCACACCTGGTTATTGCACGTACACTCGTTAGCCGCGCGAACGATCACTGACACTGGCGCCATATTCTATCAAGATATCGATACGATTGTCAACTTCGAGTTATGAAAAGTACTCAACTAGTCAGAGCAATGGCTTCATTTCAGTTTTAGTGATATTTTAAATTTTAAATTTAGACAAAGATTGTTTATCAGATAATTTTATACAATTGTACGTAATTTGCATTCAATTTTACTATATATATATATATATATATATCGAAATTTCACATCACAAACGTATCGTCGATCTTTCTCTTGATCACGTAGTACTGAAATATTTTCTTCCGTGAACATACATCGTGTATCTTGTTAAACAATAGAAATTATCACGGCAAGTTCACGCATACGTATAACTGAAGCGCGTGTGTGAATTTCCGACTCGATGTACGTATACACATATTAGGCGAAAATGTATAGAGGATATCGTTAGTCAAGAATGGGATCGATTGAAGGTGAATATTTCTAAGAAGAATATTTCTTTATTTTTCATTCAACGAGGTTAATTGAAATTTTTATTTTATAAGGGAAATAACAGAAACGAAAACGTGTCTAACGATTCTTGATTAACGATTGACGATCTATTCTTGATTAACGTCGTAACGCATATTTAAATACCCGATGTTGCGAGACATTGCGACCGACAAAGCCTCTCGATCGAAATCGAGGAAGCGATAGAGGACAACTTTAAACATATAGTTCGATGATAAAACGGGGACGTGCCGGGAAACTATTCAAAACAAATCAGACAGACGCAGAGTGAAAAAAAAAAAAAGAAAAACAAGAGGAACCGGCTGATTTACTTTTCTCAATTTTAATTGAACACATGCGTAAAACAATGAACATTTCATCCTCTGCCAACGGATATAGATGCGAAATTTAAAGTTGCGCATGCGCGTGAGTCATATGTTTAAAAGAAGCAATTAATACCCTAAAAGAATCGTGCGTAAGAGTTACTTTGGTGTTTTCGTTGATGATGAAAGGATAAAAATCCCGACGTATTTACGAGGTAGATAATAAAAACAACAATAATAATAATTAATAAATAATATTTAATTATAATAAAGTAATAATGATATAATAATAATATTATTATTAATATTAATATAATTATAAATTAGTTGCAGCTTTCTGTGTAAGGTTATTGTGATATCTAAAAGGAAAAAAAAAATAATAACTTTACCGTAGCGATATAAAATTAATTCAGACTTAAGAATCTGATATTTAGTGAGCAAATAAAGAGGAAAAAAAAAATGAATAATCAGTATGCCGACGGGGCTTTTGAGTGATGCCTCACCGCGATCGATCCAATATGGCAACGCATAGAGAATGAACAAAGAAAAAAAAAATACAGCGACCCGTGAGTGGCCGCGTCTCTCTCTCTTTTTTTTTTCGTCACCTTCTTCACGGGCGAGGTTAAAACGACAATCTTAGGCCTCGTCAAAATACTGCCGGATACGTGAGGACATTCCGAAAATCGGTCGCAAAGCAACGTGAGCTAGTTCTACTATTTTTTTCTGCAGTCGAACTCGAATGTTATAAATAATAATTGCAAGAAGAAACAGAGGAAAAAAGCAAAGCGAAAGAAAATAAAACGAAAACTCTCGATCGGGTTGTTGCGCGTACTATAATAAACGAAAGAAATTCGTTGCGATTCGTTCGATTATTCGGAAAGTCCACTTTGCATCTGGATCAATCCGTCCATAACATGTCTCACGCTGAGGCATTTGCACAAATGCGTGCATATTAATCATTGGGACTACAAAAACATATCATCATATGTAATGGTAACGATACCGTATATATATATACATATGTATACATATATATGCACATATATATACATATATATACATATACATATATATATATATTTAAAAAATATTAAGCAATAAGATTTTATTTATATGCCCGTAGAAGAAAAATTGAATGAACAACTGCATATCAACACGTGTGTCTGGGCAAGGATTAGCTTATATATATAATATATATATATAATTAAAATATAAATATATATATGTATATCAATATATATACATATATATAGATATATAATCTTTACTTCGTCGTTGTCAGGCGTTAATGTTAAACTTAATTATCATTAATTAATTATTAGATTGTGAAAGAATTTCTTCAGGTTCTAAGCAAGATTTGGAAATAATAAAACAAGTAAAATACATAGTTTCAAGTGTTTCTTTTTTTTTTACTGCTCCTTGTGTCATCTATTGCATTACTTTATGTTACTTTTGTCTTGTTTCAAAGACTAATGTCATTCGTATGTTATTTAAAAACCAGTAATATGCCCAGTTGTATTTTACAAAAATATAACTTTTTTACAAAGTTTTCTATAATACGTATTAGTAAATTTCAAAATATACATGTATTTAAAAGATATGTATTTTAAATTTCTTATAAAACTGGCGCCATAGTGGCGCTAGTGAGGCAGCATTTGACATAAATTTGGCGGTAAACGTAGCACAAACACGTAGCTGATAGAACGTGAATTATTTTACTGAATTTTGCACGTATTTCGATCAAAAATGGTTCATAAAACTGAAGAAGAATGTGACGATTTATTTGTAAAATCGGGAAAAGAGAAGCCAGAGACATTTGAAAGGAAACAAGCTGAATATAGAGATCTTTCAAAAAAATTTATAAATACAAAAAGTGATTATTCTAAACAATTTTCACATATATACTCTGCTAGACTGACTGAATTAAGGGAAGCTTTAATTCCGCGTGTTAAAACTAAATGGGGTATGTTTATTAATTCTTCATTTATGGATAATATCATGGTATTTAGCAATGGTTATGATGTCCATGCATCAAAAGCATTCACAAAAAAAGATTTTTTGCAAATAACGTAATGCCCATATTTTTCTTTTCTACATAGAGAACATTCCAATTGTGAAATTGGCTGATTTAGAAAAATTAGAAAATCAACAGTGTATAATAATTGGTACGCTGTATAAACATCAACAGTGGAAACCATCAATTTTAAGAGAACTCAGTGAAGAGCATCAGCTTAGTGCTTCCTGTTCTAAACCAAATTACTGTTCAGAAAAGGATCAACCATTTCTAGAAGATGAAATGTTACGTATCAAATTGGTAGGCGAGCAAGTTGACATAAAGCAAATTATTACTGGAGTTGTTTGTGCTGTATTAGGCAATGAAAATAGTGATGGAACATTCCTGGTAATTCTAATTTTAGAGAAATACGATTGTTTTATATTATGTTACATTATATATGATAATAACTATTGTTTTATTTAGGTAAAAGATTGGTGTTTTCCTGGATGTGCACCAAAAGAATCTTTAAAAGAATATACATCACAAAATAGGCTGGTACTTGTGTCTGGATTAAATTTGTCTAATAAAAGTGAAAGTTTGGGAATGTCTCTTTTTGTAGAATGGTTGTGTGGAATGGCTGGTAATATAACAATACAAAAAGATAATACTTTCATTGTTCGTCTCATTATAGCAGGTAAATCATATTCACTTAATCATATTAAAGATGTGTATAACAATATAAAGTACTTTGATTTCCCTATTAGGTAATACTGTAAAAAACAATGATACATCTCAGACATCAACAAACACAAGTAAAGAACTTGGAGAAGTAATAAAATTTGTGGATTTATTCCTAAGTAACTTGGCAACGTGTTGTTCTGTTACTTTAATGCCTGGAAAACATGACCCCAGTAATGCCATGTTGCCCCAAAGACCATTTCATCCTTGTTTATTGCCTAAATCATCTAGGTTTGTACAAGTATATTGAACAAGTAATTATAACATTATAATATTATGTTTTTAACGCAAATTTATTTTATTTGTATGTCATAGACTTGAAAGCTTTAAAAGTACCACAAATCCATGGGTTGGTAAAATTGAAGGACGAGTAATAATTGGCTCTAGTGGTCAATCAATTCAAGATATTGTTAAAGTAACAGGCGAAACTGATATTTCGCCTCTTGAATGGCTAGAAAAATCCTTGTTATGGAGGCATATCTGTCCAACTGCTCCAGATACACTGTTAGTTTGCCCATACTATGAAAAAGATTTATTTATTATGGAAACATGTCCAGATATATATTTTGTAGGAAATACAGACAAATTTGAAACAAAATTGTGGAAAGGTTTGTTCATCTTATTAATAAAAGCTATGACTTGTAATAAAATAAAAATTGATTAATAATTTAATTTTCAGGCGATGAAAATCAGATCGTTAGATTAATATCTGTTCCACGTTTTGATACGACTCAGACTGCTGTGATAGTAAATTTGGACAATTTAGATACTCAATATATTTCCTTTAGTAATATTTAAATGAATCTATCTTTCAGTTGCAAGGATATTAAGCATTTCTTATACAACGCTATATTTTTCCACTATAATTTGATATAAATTTTATATGAATATATGTGTAAGATTTGTTAAATAAAATACAAACGCTATTAAAAAGTAATAAGATTGTACGAAAATACACATTTATTTCGATTCTATTTATTAAATTTCATTTGACAGTTTAATTTAATTCATGATATTAATCAACATATAAATAATAAAAGAAAAACATATTCTATTATTGACTGTTTATTTTCATCCAAAATGTGATGTACAAAATCTAAGCGCATGACTTTTAAATATAGGTATGTTTGACTAAATATAAAATAAGTGATAAGAAAGAAATTACATGTAATATCACAGATTATTAGAAAATTATGAAATCACAGTGACATGAGATTTTGGACATGTAACTTGTTACACGTTTAAATAAACATGAATTCATGCTTTATAAATTATAAATAAGAACATAACAGTCAAAATACAGGATACACTTATTTCTTGATAACAAAATAGTGTAGTACTTTACTACACTACTACACTACTTTTAGTACTTTACTTGTTTGCAGAAACTAAAATGTACTAAGTATATTATCCTTCTATAATCCCATCTTCTTACCTGCAGATTGTTACATAAAAATATAGAAAGCAACTATAAATAACCATATACGTTATTTTAAAATTTTATAAATAAACTGTTTTTGACTGTTATATAAGATGAAAAAATTGTGAAACCATTTGAAGAAATGATAAAACAACATATGAGAAGTCAAATATAACGATGTACACAATGTAGGCATACATACAATACATTATTATGTATATGTGTTATGTATAATAGTGTTGGAATTTTGTTGAATGCATTCAATTATTGTACAATGAATATCACTTTTTCGCAACTAGAAAAAATATGCAACATCGAAGGATAATGCTACAGAACATTTCAGTTGGCACTTTTATTTAACGTAAAAATTTGATTATAATATAAATACACTTTTTATTTTTATTTTTTTTTTTTTTAAATATAAAATTGTCTAATTCTGGTCATATGAGATTCTAACTGTTGAAAGATTGTGTCTTATTTTATCAGTTATAACAGTGAAAGAAAAATATAACAATATCCTTATATCCTAAATAAAAGGATAATAATCCGTACAATTCTAATGCTTTGGCCGAAATAGCAATATTTAGAAAGCAATTATTAAGGTTTCCCATTAATTTAAGCAGAATGAAGTTATAAAATTTATATTTATAATACACTTTACAGATTCATAATACCATTAACTTAAGGTGCATGTTACATGACCGACAGGTATATATAACAATTGACAGGTAGCTTCTGCATATAGTAACGACGACGTAGACATACTGTATGTATTAAAGATTTTATCCTATCTCTTAGCCGTCGGACGTATTCGTTCCTTTTCAGTATCCCTATCGTCAGCTACTGTCCATTCAGGATCATTGGGATCCTCACCCTCTACGTCACAACAAGCTGATTCTGTCGAATCTGATTCTGGAGAATCCATTTCCCCATCCTAGAAATGAAATATTAACATCTACCTAAATAGTTATGAAAAACTATTTTTTCCAACGGTTATTCTGCATATATTACAAAAAACTATATTTAAATACACAAGCTTGTAAGAGCTGAAAAAAACAGTCAGCAGGCTAATTCATCAAAATATTCTAATGCTTATAAAACTTATGTAAACGCAATGCAATCTTTCTTAAATATTGCTAAAATCTGAAATATGCAATAAAAATAAAATCAATTGTGTTTAAAATAAGAAGCATCAAATGACACTGCTTACCAGAGATAGCCTCGAGGAGCCATGAAAGTTGGCTCAAAGTTTATATTAATAATCAGTACGAGCATTCATTTTTTTTTTTTTTTTTTTTTTTTTTTTGTAATAAAAAATTCTGTCTTAGATAATTAACACTCAAACATTTAATACAAATACAATGTACGTACATCATATGTTTTTTCTTCATCGCGGGAACAAAGAGATGCTGAAGAAGCTTGCCAATGACCATCTGGCATCACTTCTAGCATTTTGTCATATACTTCTTCGGATAATGGAAATACCCTTGGTTCATACGGCAAAATCTAATGAGAAATAATACACAATATTTCTTAAAATATTTTGTTTATTGAAATATTTTATCTCATTAAGTAATTTAAATCAGATGAAAAAATAATACCTCGTTTTCGTCTTCATTTATCGAAGTACTAGTGTCATCTTTCCCTACTCTTAACGTAGGTGTTGTACGACGTCGTAAAGCATTTTGTAAAGCAGATGATCGATGCATGTTATCCGAGTTATGTTGATGTTCTGATTCCTGAACTTGAGGAGTAGCCGGAGGTGACGTAATTGGTGACATAATATCTCCACCAAAATCACTTGCATGTGGAGACATAGGATCTATTAATTACGAAATAATTTGTAAATTATCTTGACATGATTTCTAACGTTACTATATGTTGTAAAGATTCTAATTATTATTAATATATTAGTATTTTAATTATAAAAGGAGATTAAATTACCTGGTGTATTTGCACCACTATCTGTTCGACTATCTGTTCTACGATTGTGTCGAATACGAGATTGATGCGGCATATTCATGTACATCATAAAACGTTTATTCTCTTCTCGTTCACTTCGTTCATGTCTTAAAGCAATAGTTTCGTCCGACATATCTTCAAACTAAAAAATGATACAAATACTTTAATCTCATGTAAAATTATTTAGAATTTCATACTTATGTAATTAGATGTACTTACATCACTGTCTTGACTAGGCCTATGCATAACACCATTTTTAATATCCAACTTTGAAGGTTCTTCACATAACCTCCACCTTTATTTTATGAGAAAGAAGAAAAGATATAGTAGAACACTAATGACTATACACACGAGGTATATAAAGTCATATAGCAAATATTACTTACTTTGGTGTTAATATTTCTTTGTATTGTAACTTTTCAAGCCTAGTTGAAGCAGCTACACTATATGGTATAACTATATTATCAATATCGTATGAATTTTGCCTCAAGCGTCTGAAGAAAAAGATTTTACAAAGTTTTTAATTGTACGTTTAATGTACGTTTAATTTTTGTTAACAAATGTAATTAATGATACTAACCCATGAGAATTCTTTTCTTTAATTATATTCTTCTCTGTAGTAGAAGCGATAGTATGGTGTAGAGGAGAAGGCACTGGAGATGAATGCTTACTGGAGCTGGAAAGTGCACTAATATCATCATCATCTTCAGTTGTCAGTTTCTGTACCCTCTTCCTACTTAAACTATGAACGCTTCTATCATGACCAAGCCTATTTCGTTTTCCTTTCAACATTTTCTTTTTAATTCCTGCATGAAGAACACCAACGAATAAAGATTAAAAAGAATGAGAAAAAATTTTTCATGTGCTTACATAATGTAACGCTTTACATACTTGCAGTAAGGATACTTGAGGATGATTTTTTTAACCGAGCTGCATATTTTGCTCTATGCCCTGGAAGTTTCTTATTTCTCCTTTCATTAGTATCTTTGTCTTTTAAACGTGTAATCCGTAAATTTCCTCTTAACATTTTTTGTTGCCATTCCACTGATTTCATGATAGCTTCAAGATGAATTCCCTGTGTAATTTCTACAGAAAAAATTATATAAATTAATGTAGATTCTCAAAATTACAATATTACATATCACAACAAATTATAAGATATGTAAATAAACGTATACAGAATATTTATTTACCATCAGGAAATGACAAAACAGAATGAAAACTAGGATCCACAAGTGCAACTCTTTCTTGTACAGACATTTGTTCAATTGGTTCTTGTGGTTGCATTGGATCCAATCTTCCAGTGCATAAAGCACACGATGGTAATACATGATCACAATTACATCTTACTGTTGATGCTTTTGCAGCACGTTTTGAGACTTCATGTAACTTGTCTAGTTGCAGTAATTTCCTCTTTCTATAAAAACTCCACACAAACGGCCGAGTTCTACTAGCAGGCAATTCACCTTCTGGTGAATTATAACGTCCCGTAGAACCCGGTAACACACCGCTATACCCATTCACTGTTTCTGCATTATCAAGTATCACTAATCCCTTGTTAGCTCTAACATGCCGCTGTAATTCATTATGCTGTCTAATTCTGTATTCCAAATCTGATATTTGTGCTTGCAACCACGTCCATCTCGCAGCTACACCTGCACGATCTTGTGCATACCTCCATGTTGCTCGTTTAGATCTACAAGTTAACATTGATAAAAACATAATAAATAAATTAATAAATACTTTAAAATTTATAATTGATCTTTTGACAAAAAATATTTAGTTAAATAATTCTGATAAGATATAGAAATCAAATGTATCCATTGTGTGTGTTAATTCAGATATGTTATCAAATGTATCTATTGTTAATTAATTCAGACATGTTCATTATATTTTTCATTTAATAATTATTGAAAATAGACACACAATACACGTAAATAAAAATACACACAAAGACATACATAAATACAGTCTTTATATTAAACAATACCATGAAACAAAATTTATTCAAAACCGACCCAAAATATTATTCGGTTTGAAGTTTTTTTCAAAAGCAGTAAATTTTGTACTACAAAATTTGCTTTAGGTAGTAGACTGTACAAAATAATTTTAATTTTCAATCTTTTAAAACAGAAAATAGAAAATAAAAAATAGAAAATGAAAAAACTAGAATAATTCCAAGTGTGAACATAAATTTGTGAATGATAAAAAAAATTAAAACTTACATAGATATACTTTGTTGATGTGGATTATTAAATGATTGCATTTCATCACAACTTTCTCCACCACTACTAGATGCAGTACAATCAGAGTCAAGATTAGATTCCACAATATGCAGCTGTGTGGCTAAAGGTCCAGCCACACTTTCTACTTCTTCACCTTTAACTTTAACTTGAGGAGTACCAAACACTGACTGACGATTGCTATTATTACCTGAAGTACTACCCAAATTGTCGCGCGATCCATCACCAAAATATCGGCAACATAATCGCTGACGATTCACACTATTACTCTGGGCAACACACATTTTCTCAATTTTTTGCAAAAACGAACTCAAACTACTATTAATCTCAGGAAAGTTTCTAACATTAGACTTAGAACCGATATTAACCAATTCTTGAAAAAGATATTTCTTCACTCCATGATGAGCAAGCTCAAGAACTCCAGTATTTTCTTCAGCAACATGCCTGCCTATTATTCTTGCTTGAAGCTTTCTCAGTCTTCTTAATAAAAATGCACATTTCCTTTCGCTCTCGTGTTGTTTTTGGGCAACAATATCTTGCTGTAACTTTAAGGTGTTAACTTTCTGTTGGTCCACCGCATCAGCGATATTGCAAATGCTCATAACATCAACATCAAGTAAATCTCTCTCAAAAGAAGAAAATCCTTCTTCAGGCATAGAAAACATCTCAACTCCATCCACTGCGCTTTGCACTGGTTCATTACTTCCTGCAGAGATATTTTCTGCATTTTCCACACCTTCGATAGATTTAATAACTTGTAGAATCTCCTCCACATTTTGTCCAATATCACTAACATTGCTCATGTTACATTGTTCATTGTCTGCAGTTATATCCGTACCAAAGGCCATTATTTGATCCACATCCAGACTTTTATTATCTCCTGCTGTTTCTGAGCCCACCAAAGGCAAATCTACGCTTGATTTCAAAAAACCCATATTGTCCGCTTGATCACCCATAGATGGGTCGTTCATTATAGTATCCGTCACCTTTTTTTCTGGACTGCCTGGAATGCCCAGTTGTCCACAGTCCTGCTTTATTAATGCCTTCTTTGTAATCAAGTCAGATCCGTGCGTAAATGTAGACAAACTATCAAGATCATTAGCATATTTCGAGTTGATGACATCACGAATGAGATCCTTGGATATACCATGTAAGCACTGCTCGTCAATCTTTGATGGTTGGACGTTTGCGGAAACAACAAATTTTGCCAGAATTTCACGATCCTGGCACACCTGCGTAGCCTGCTCTGGGGAAAGAAATCCACCAGCTGGAAGGGAAGGGAGCAAATTTTCAGGCTTTTGAGGACCACCTTCCGTCAGAGCAGGGGCCATCACTGCCACTGACACTGCCAGTGCTGCAGCCTCGACATCCAGAGGCTCCCACGTGCGTACGCACCCACACCTACACTTCACATATGCTGTTCTCACTCCCATTCATCCATTACTAATTTATTGTCCTGCACTTGTATTAACTGTTGTTATCCTTCTGTTTCTTTCCTCTTTTAAAGCATGTACTTTCTTTATTCAACATTAAATGTTATGTTGTCTCAATGGTATTCTTCATTTTGATTAATTTCTTCATCTGTACATTTCATTCGTATGCTTTGGACCAACTCATAATATAAACCTGCAAATATAAATATTTGTGAATGTTGCATCATCTTAATTCTCATGAAATTAATATATGTATACTAAATTTAACTATCTACAATATATACATGTTGCGTTTACAATAAAAGCAACGTTTTAACAACACAATTACTTTAAATCTTCCTCTTGATGTTATGTCATTCCACAAACAAATCATACTTACGATTTAGTAAGACCATTTACAAAATCATTTACAAAACCATTTATAAAAATCAATAATAAACATACATAAAATTAATAATAAACAGATATACTAAACATAATTTAGACATTAAATCAAAAATAACGTTGTCCTAATTTTTTCTCTGTCATTCGCGTGTTTACAAACTGCTCATTGATTATTACCCATAAATGGGCAGGTTCTACCAAATAATTAACATTACGAACAGTTAACTGGCGATCTTCGCTTCAAAAGCGACAAGAAAAGACCGATGATCGTTCGATAACAAGAAGACTCTGCTCACCTTGTGCACTCTACTCGTTGGAATAGGAAGTGCGCGTCGAGAATCGCAGAAACGTTCGGGCAAATATATTCGCCGTTGCACGACGATTATCCAAACACGCAGAACAACGCGAAGAGGAACGTCGAGCTCGGGATCGTTCTTCAAAGTCGGGAGAATATTCCAGCGTTCGTCCAATGATCACTGTTTCCAGGCAGTGTGTCTCGTGCGTAGAACGGGCTGAAGCGGCAAGCGGCTGCCGGCGAACACGATAACAACGCGTTATTAAGAGACTGGAATGCGATGAAACGAAATCGTTACGCGGTTTGTGTGAGAACGCCCCGAGATTTCGGGCACGTTGTTCGCGCGTTTTCACGAAACAGGCGGAACACACGGTGCCGCGAGTAGAAGCGATCAGGGAGAGAAGACTGGAGGAGGTAGGAAAGGAAGCTTGTTCAAAAGTAGAAATTCTCGGCCAGCACTGCGATACGGAGCGTTGCACATAATTACACTAGATATCACTGCCGAATATGCGTATCATAGAGATTAATAGCACGTATGCTCGCGTCGTTTGACGCATTCCCACGTGATTACTCCTCGCGGAATATAGAAAACAGTAACAGCAGCGGCGACGGCGGCGGCGGCGGCAGCGGCGGTGGCGGCTGCGGCGGTGGTGGCGGTGGCGGCAGTAGCGGCAGCGTTTCCTCGTTGTGGCACGAAATCGGAAAACAAAGATAAAAACATGCCGCACAACACCACCGCCGTCCTCGTCCTCAACAGAGGAGGCAGTTCTTTCTCGTCAGCGGCACGTCGTCTATTGCATAATGACGCGCAAGATTTTTCGTATCCCCGGCGAATGGCACTAATGTCGTACGAGTCACTTCGCGTCTTCCTCGCCGATGACCACGTACGCGAAAAACCTTTACACATATGACTTCCGCAGAGATGTCGAAGGCATCGAGAGTGGAAGCGTGTACACCGGAGGGAAAGGGAAAGAGAGCGAGGAAGAAAATGAGAAATGTTCGTTATATGTATATGTATATGTACTTGTGTGTGTGTGTGTGTGTGTGCGAGAGAGAGAGATAGAAAGAGAGAGTAAGAAGAAAAGATAGAACGAAACGAGAGAAAGACAGAAGACACACTAACGTGCTTCGCCTCGTGAACAGCGTAACCACGAGACGTGCGTTAACGCGAGACGTGGGCGCCGTTTGCACGGTCGAGCGAAACAATCGGCTCGTTATGAACGTGACCGGAGGAAGGAAAAACGAGGGAAGCGGCTTCCTTCGCGGTAACTCCTGTGGCGTACAATGGCGGAGCAAAAAACAGATTCGAAGGCAGCTTCTTTCGGCCAGTTTCCCCCTTCTGTAACGCTCACCTCGGCCCGGGGGCGCTCGACATAATCGCACGTACACCCATCGAGAGATCCACCGATAAATACGAGTGTTCGTTCCACGATACGCAACACGGCACGACGTTCGTGCAATTCGCGCGGATATAAATGTCCGTCACACCCAATGCACGATTAATCCCTCTCGGCGATGATTCCTCCTCTCTTATACAGGGGCAACGCGCGTACTTCGCCAACCGACGTTTCTGCGTCTCTCCTTTCGTGTTGATGTGTACGCGTTTCCGGCGTTCAATCCACGGGAGCCTCCCTCTTCAAATTCTCTACAAGCACCGACGTCGATTTTCGAGGCAAAAGTTATACGAGCAACGCAAGCTATTTATCAATAATATATAGGAAATTCGACCAACTTCGGTGTTGCTGAAGCGGGATCGACCAATACTGCAGTGCCGCTGCCGGATGTGGCCTTCGTGCCACGCTGCCCAATCGGATTCATTTTCTATCTATAACGTCGGCGGTAAAGTCCAATTCGCAGCTCGATATCGTGGCTCCGGCCGCATAATGAAAAACCCTAGGCAGCCCGGCGCGAGCTACTTTTCCCGCTTGATCCAATACGGCACACCTGCTGACGCGTATGTATGTTGGAATTACGGCATTGTTTGTTTGTTGCGACAAATACACTGCAATTCTTTGCATTTGCACGCAACTTCGACTAACTAGCGCGGTATAGTTAATTTATTTTCTAACTTGAAATGTAGCGCGTTACGCATGCGACGAGAAGTTGGAAAAACTTGTCATGTGGAATATCGTGGCGAACGACACGTAATGCGTTGAAACAATTCATAGTCGTACATGTATTGCAATAAATATTTAATACATGACTAATTTTTTTTGCTCGATAATATTAAATCGTTATACGACGAGATGAAATATATTTCAATGCACGTTATATATTCTTTTATCAACTTGCGACATTTTTCGAGATCTGTTAATAACAATATGCTACGTACATGCAGCGTGCAATTCTCATAAAAAATTGTTGGGAATGCGTAATAATGTTACATAATTGTGAATCAATTATTGTAAAGTAATTACTAAATGAGATTTTCCGTTTAGTACGGAAGCGATCTTGAATCTGATGAAAATGAGGAATATATCGTCTAATATGTTGCGTGGATTTAAATATTTATATTGGTGCGTTTTATCGGTTTGATTGTCATTAGGTTCGTCAGATGGCGATGTAAATACAACAGTGTCAATACAGTCACTATTGCGTGTAGTTTGATACTTTTTAATCATGACAAATACAACGATATCGATAGAATGAAATAATGTAAAGTAATAAGCAAGCAAATACATCGAGAACAGTAAATGATAAACATCTGAAAGCTTTGCAAAATGGATATTGCTAAATCGTTGTTTAATGTTCGTGACCATGAAGGTTATGTTGGAAAGGAGGACCATAATGTGAGTATTTTTTAATCAGCTGTTTGCTTTTAACGAATTTTCTATTGGACCATTTCGTTTGTAAATAAATAAGCATTTAAAGTATAATATTTGCATAAATAAGTAATTTTTGTAAAATAATGTTTATCTTATGACGAATTGCTAAGACTCAGACCTCACATCTGTTAACATATTATTGATTTGAAATCACATAGTATTTCTGTTTTTTAGAAAAAATTGGAAACTGCCGCCTCCGAGGATGAATTTGAAGTGGAGGTCTCAGGATTATGTGGCGAAATTTTGTCTCCTGCACCTGGTGGCCCATTTTCTGCATTGACACCGTCCATGTGGCCCCAAGATATTTTAGCCAAGTTAAATCAACCTGATGATCCGAATTCGCAACCTGAATACAGGTATCTATAACAAATTTCTTTTATCATAGAACACACTAATGTAATAATTTGATACAATTAATTTTTTCATGTGTGAAAATATTAACATATACACCAGGTTCGATGAATTTGGCTTTCGTGTAGAGGAAGAAGATGGTCCAGAACAAAGTTCAAAGAAATTATTAGGCATTCCATTTGTCGAAGATCCCCAACATAGGTATGGACAAATCAAACGATATTAATAAACAAGTGGATAGTTAGTTATGGAATTAATTTAAATACTTTTCATGTTTAGACTACAATGGGTTGCTCTATTGGAATTTAGCCACAATAAAGAAGTAACTGAATTTTCTTGGCAAAATATGGATAGAAGATTACCGCGTACAGACAAATTGCGAGATATGGTTCATCGCGGTATACCTCATTCTCTTAGACCTCAAATTTGGATGAGAATGTCAGGTAATTTTTTTAACTTTTTTTTAAATTTTTTTAATTATAATTTCATTTTCTATTAATTTGTAAGCCTAGCCATACACCAAGCAATTAACATAGATAGCAGCAGTCCATTGCTTGAATCCATTTAGCTCCAAGCTAATTAAACTGATTAAGTTTTTGAACATAATATCTATAATATTTTATAATTATACAAAGTAAGTTATTTTATTTAATGTTGCAGGAGCACTGCAGAAAAAATGTTCTTCTGAAATAATGTATAAAGATATAGTAAAAGCATCAAGTAATGATGCATTAGTAACTAATAAACAAATTGAAAAGGATCTTTTACGTATTATGCCTGCTAATGCATGTTTCAGCCATCTTCATAGCACAGGAATACCACGTTTAAGACGTGTTATGCGTGCGCTTGCTTGGTTATATCCTGACATAGGGTAATGATATAGTTTTATGAAATAATATTGTAATATTTTCATTTAGTATATAATCTGTTTATTCTGCAAAGATATTGCCAAGGTACAGGAACAATAGCAGCTTCTCTTTTATTATTATTAGAAGAGGAAGATGCCTTTTGGATGATGGCTACGATAGTAGAAGATTTATTGCCAGCGTCTTACTATTCTTCTACATTATTAGGTAATATATTACTAAGTTATATAAGATAATAGGTTTTAATTTTAAAAACATTTAACAGGTATTCAAGCTGATCAAAGAGTACTTCGTACATTAGTGGCAAATTATCTTCCTGACATAGACCATGTTCTGGTTCAGCATGACATAGAATTAAGTTTAATATCTTTACATTGGTTCTTAACTTTATTTGCATCTGTTGTACATAAGAAAATATTGCTCCGCATATGGGATATGTTTCTTTTTGACGGATCTATAGTTCTGTTTCAAGTTACACTTGGAATGTTAAAAATTAAAGGTATATACTGTTATTTACTAAACGTATCCACAAGTATAAATTATTGATTATGTTTCTAGAACATGAATTAAAAGAATTAGAAAACTCTGCGCAAATATTTAATGCTCTCTCTGATATACCCGGAGATATTGATGATGTAGATCTATTATTTAAGGTAAGTTCCCATTCTTCAATTCTTATGAAAATTTTTTACACAAATAATGAGCAAATAAAAATTTCTATAACCGAAATTTGTTTCTTTTTTAGACATCTTTAGAAGTAAGTGGATCATTAACAGATGTTTTAGTTGAAACTCATAGACGTAGACATTTGGCCTATTTAATGACAGATCAAGGTGGTCTAGTAGGTAATCCTGATGCTGTACCAAATTTACCAAAACAGCATCTCAATAGGTAAATTATGATAAATATTTAATTAAAAATATCTCAAACGACATAAACATTCTATTGGAAATCGTCGTTTCATTACATTTTACATATTTTCTTGAAGGCGTCAAATGAAGAAAAATAAATCTATGTTTCAAACATTCTTATTTGGAAATTATGACACTGAAGATGATGCAAAGTCAAAAAATATTCGACAGACAGGTATGTTAATATCATAATTGAAAAAAATAACATCTTAAAGAGATTGGAAATTACACGTTATAAATATTTTAGAAATATTGGTTGATTTAAGAGAAGCTGTCTTGCAAGTTGCCAGACATTTTATAAATGTCGACCCAAAATTAAATAATATCGTGCTTATAGCAGATTATAGTATGGAAAGTCACGCAAAAGATCATGATAACTATGTCAATGTATCACGCACTAGAAAAAGGAGAGCTAAAGCATTATTAGGTATGTCATTAACATATCATATCTTTGCGAAGAAATTTGGAAAGGAATGTTTTTCAAAACGAACGAGAATCTGGTTCTGTACAGAATTAAATATTATTTTGTTAAAATCAACAAATAAGATTTTTATAATTGGTCATTTCAGATTTGGTCTCACAACATTTTTATAGTAATAACTCGCATTTTTTGAGCCGTGTCATTTTCTTCGCAAGGGGGTGCGATATGTTTAAATTACGAAAATATTTCTAATTATATGTAATATTAATATTTAATAAAATGGTCGCTTTTTTTAATTTTTATAATCACATTGTATAGATTTTGAAAGACATGACGATGATGAATTAGGTTTCCGGAAAAATGATATAATTACAATTATAAGTCAAAAAGATGAACACTGTTGGGTGGGAGAACTTAATGGATTAAGAGGGTGGTTTCCTGCAAAATTTGTTGAATTATTGGATGAAAGAAGTAAACAGTATACGTGTGCTGGAGATGATGCCGTTAGCGAAGCTGTTACTGACTTAGTCAGAGGAACCTTGTGTCCCGCTATAAAAGCAGTATTGGAACATGGAATGCGTAGACCGTCGTTCTTAGGCGGTCCATGCCATCCATGGCTTTTTATTGAAGAAGCTTCAAACAGAGAAGTAGAAAAGGACTTTAATTCAGTTTATAGCAGATTAGTACTATGTAAAACATACAGGTTGGATGAAGATGGCAAAGTTCTTACACCCGAAGAGGTAGTATTATTTATATCTTTACATTATTTGATTTATTTATACAAGATTTGTATAAATAACAACTATTTTATCTCCAAGCCAATTTTGTTTCAGTTATTATATCGATGCGTTCAGTCGGTAAATTTAACTCATGATAATGCACATGCACAAATGGATGTAAAATTACGATCTCTTATTTGCCTAGGATTAAACGAGCAAGTGTTACATTTATGGCTTGAAGTTTTATGTTCGTGTGTAGAAATTGTACAAAAATGGTACTAGTTATTATTAATATAACAAAATAATAACAGTTTATTATAATACTACCTTATATTTTTTGTTGTAATAATTTACATGTAATTAATTTTGCAGGTACCAACCATGGAGTTTTATAAACAGTCCAGGTTGGGTACAAATTAAATGTGAGTTACGAATATTAAGCCAATTTGCATTTAATTTAAATCCTGATTGGGAATTACCACCCAAGAAAGAACAGTCGCAACCCCTGAAAGATGGTGTCCGTGATATGTTAGTTAAACATCATTTATTTAGTTGGGATCTTTAGCGCACCATACAAGAACCATTAATAATTTTTGTATCAAATTTCTTGCGTATATTATATGCAACAATAATGGAAGATAATTGTGTAGTACAAATCAATTGCTATTGTATATGTAGAATATACATTGTATATGCGGCAGCGTGTATGCACGTATATGTTTATGTTGTAAAAGTTTATTTCTATATTTAAAAGTTATTTATATTTTACAAACAAAAATGGATTGTATATACATGCATATATACATATGTTATATACTGTTGTCAGCTCTATTCAACAAAAAAAGTTGAATAGATAAATTTATCTATTAAATTTATCTATTAACTCAATAACTAAAATCAGTATAATAAGTATTATTATTTGTATTTTAACGTAACAAATCTCAATAATAATTTGTACACATATATTATTTATTCAAGTTTAAGTTCTGATGTATACAAATAATTTCAAAAAATAAAATCTCTAATTTACATTTAAAAGATTTTTGATATAATACAGAAAGTTTTACTTTTTTACAAAATATATCATAGTGGTAAATCTTTACCCTTTAAAAGATCCGTATGTGGAAATTTTCTATCTCTGCGACAACATGGATCAGTCAAATTATCATCAATAATTTTTATATTAAGTTGATCAGCCTTTTCATCTACCGCAACCGATGGTTTACGTAGAAATTTGTGCCAATCAAAAGGTTCTCGTTTATATAAATTTTTATATTTTTCTATAGTTGAAGGATCAATGTGCAAATTGTGCATATCCAAATCATTTTCAAAAGCTTCTTTTCCAAAATCTATCTTACAGCCACATTTACGTTTCTTTATATAAATAAAATGTAAATCCATAACATTGGTGCCAGTAAAACCAGTTTTAAATAAATCTGAGCCTTTTTTAAACCGAGAATAGAAATTGTATGTATCATTCTCTTTTAAAGTATTTTCAGGTAACATACGTTCTACTTCCATTGTTCGAAGTATAAATGGAAGTGTATCGTCGCTTTCATCTGTTTCACCTTTATCGAGACTAATTTCTTTTTCTGTTGCTTTTTCTTTTTCTGTTGTTTTTTTTTTACTTGTTAAAAATCCACTTAATTCCTGTGCTTTGCACAGATCTTTAAGTTGTTCTTGTATTTTGAGTTGCTCTTGTTCTTCCTCTTTCTCTCTAATAGCTTGTTTCTTCTGCCCTTCTTTAACTATCACCCTTGAACTTATGGAGTTTACTTTTGCATATATATCATGAATCAAAGGTCCAATAGCAGGATATCCAAATGCACCTGCTGCATCAGTTGGACCATCTTGACCGTCGGTCCCTGCACTCAACATTATTACCTCATATTCCGCCAATCGGGGATAACTTTTGATCTTAGCCAACCAGTCTAGGGAAAAATGTAACGCTAATTCTTGATTTCTACCACCTTTTCCTTTCCCTTTAACCACCACTGTTGGTTCACCACCTCCAATCAATATCACTCCCTCTTCGCTGGCGTTATCAATTAAGTTGTAAATCTCATCCACTTTGGCAGCAGATAAAGAAAGAACAGGAATATCTTTTACTTTTTCAAAAAATTCTTCTTTTTCTAATGTTTTATCCAGTGCAAGACATATCAGACTTGTTACATGAGTATATGCTAAACTAACATCATGTACGTCACCTACAACATCTGATCTTAATATAATTGGAGTTAACTTGTGATGATATGCTTCTAAGGAGGCTGCTTCGATTGCCACTGTATTATTGCCCAAAATAATATTAGTCACATGCATGAATTGTTTCTTTTTCGTTAGCAACTTCTTGTCATTAAATCTTTCTTTAGATGTTAAAAGCTTTTTCACATCACCCTCTAATTGCTCAAACAAATTGTATTTTTTCAATATGGCTATTACTTCCTTTGGTCTTTTACTGTTGTATACTGTTGGACCACTAGCAATTAACTCTATAGGATCACCTACAATATCAGATAATATAAAGGTGATAATTGTAGCTGGATATGCCATTCGAGCTAAGCCACCACCTTTTACCATAGATAATTTGCTTCTCACTGTATTAAGCTCTTTTATATCAGCTCCGGCAGCTTGAAGCATTTTACAAACATGCAATTTATCCTCGTGATCAATTACTGGTCTTGGCATGTAAAGCAACGCAGAACCACCACCAGATATTAACACAATTAAAGTGTCATTTTCTGTGAGAGGTTCTACTAAATCTATAATTTCATGCGTTGTCTCTAAGGACCTGTTATCTGGTTGATTGTGTACAGAACCTTCACGATATTTTACTATACTAGTTCCTATTAAAGGAAAATATGATTTGTCTTCAGATTCCCACATTGACTCCGTTGAAGCCGAGGGCACACTAACTACACCTTTCTTCAGATGATAGCCAAGCATATGTTCAAGAATCACTGCCATACCCATAACAGCTTTGCCAAAACCAACTAGATAAACATTTTCTTTAAGTTGAAAACTTTGGTCTCCAGCATATAATATGCCATCTTTAAACTTGACCTTGTTCAACATAAGATTTTTTGGTGAAACAGCTCTGACACCAGTAAAATACATATCTTTCAATATAGATTTAGACCTTTCCAAGGATCTTGTGTCTGTTGACATTTTTCTACGTGCGAATTTGACAATGTTTAATAGGTTAGATTTAAAAAAAACTGGTCTACTGAAACGTCGAAAGATAATCGTGAATACACATAACAAAACACGTTGTTAAAATATAATTAAAATACTTACCTATATTGCGTTAATATATGTAATATTCGTTCGTAGTGCATCTCTGAATAGACTAGTATCACCGACCCATTCTTACGAAATAAAATTTATCAGATAAGCTCAATAAAAATCATTTTTGTTTGTCAATTTGTATCAGATGTATTTATTCAAAACTACATCTCTGGTCAGTATTACAAAAAAAATATTTTATATTCCAGCATACAAACAATATACACGTAATTCACATTACACATATTCGATCATATTATATTGGCATTTGAGAATTTACAAACGAAAAATGATTTATTCTAGAATTGTATTAAACCATAAAAATGTGTCTTAATACTTAATAAGAAAAACGTTACAAATTAAAAATTACAAAGATAAATATATGTAATTGATATTAAATATTTCGCTGAATAAATATTAGATATAAATGCAAGTACAATTTAAAATCACATTTCGCTTTTTATTCTGTATTAAATCACACATGTGTTATAAATGTTTAAGAAAAACATTACAAATGTTTAAGAAAAAATCACAATTATTACAAAGGTAAATTTTGACTACACTTGGTATTAAGTATCTCGCTCAATAAATATTAAATGTATGTACAAGTACAATTTGAAATCACATTTCGCTTATTAAGAATAATAGAAACAATAGCTTCCGAGAGGCATTCTTTCGCATATATTTTGTGGCTCTTATAAGAGCCGTTTTGTTACGTGGAGAGAGAACCTTTACTGAAGTAGAAATTTAACCGCCAAATCCATACAGTGTTCTTCCTTGACGTTTCAAGGCATAAACTACGTCCATAGCTGTCACAGTTTTCCTTTTCGCATGTTCGGTGTATGTGACAGCGTCACGGATGACATTCTCGAGGAACACCTTCAGTACACCTCGAGTTTCTTCGTAAATCAAGCCCGAAATTCGCTTCACACCGCCACGTCTTGCCAGACGACGAATGGCAGGCTTCGTGATACCTTGGATGTTATCACGAAGTACCTTCCTATGTCTCTTTGCTCCTCCTTTTCCCAAACCTTTTCCTCCCTTTCCACGACCAGTCATGATGAGAACTTTTTTTCAAGCAGAAGAGAGAATTCTGTGAAAACTATCGCAAAACTGTGATTTTGCAGAAAAACGTTGAGTTTATATGCCGAGCGTCGCTGAGGGTCTCCCCACTACCATTCTGCCAGCCAATCACATTGCTCGTTCAAGTTATGAATCCAGGTGGCTCTTAACAGGTATTGTTCAATTGTAACGAACATCTGCTGTAAACTACTGTCGAGACACAAATAACATATATGTATATCGTTGAATATATTTATAAAGAACAGTTTCGATGCAAATGAAATATATGCAACATTTGAATGATGGGTCCGAGAACTTTACCTGACAGTTATTGTAAGTCAGTTGTTAGAAATTTCTAGAAAATAAATATCTTCTCTGTTAAATACGTATTATGGACATATACATCTTTCTGGATTCAGTTACAAAAACTGGTAGGGATAACAATGGTGATTTAACGTAGATGATTTATAAAAGCATACGTACATGTGTACGTATACACATATATTATGCAGTTTCTCAATTTGCCGCGCATGAGCAAACGTAACAAGCATTCCCGCTTTTCTTAAATCTATCGCATCATTTGATATCGTGTCACACGAAGCCTCTTTCTTCAAGCTTTCTAAATTATATTTCTAATTACTTTCACTAAATTTCTCGTTCTTAGATTCGGTTTACTGAATTTCTTCAGAAATAAAATTCCGAAATTATTCCTTTCCACTACTCCGCAAGAAAAAAAATTGACTTTGTTGTTCATTATTTTAAAATAAATGTTACAGCATAACATTTACTTCAAAAGCGTTGACTGAGGTAAAAACAAAAACTTTATATAACTGTCTCAACAACTAAAATCGATATTATAACTATATTTTCAAACTTCAAATTAGATGTATTAAACCATAAGTGACCAACGTTTTAGATCTGGATTTCATTGGCCAACAAAAAATTTGTTAAGGGCCGTACATAATTTACATATTTTTTTTTTATCAATTCAATGTAACCTATATTATTTGTGAGGATATTAAAACAACTTTTATAGTGAAACAATATTGATTAGAAAAATATATTAATTAAAAAAAAAAATATGAAAATTTTTAATGAGAACACTAAGCTTGTTTTTTTAGATACCAGTTCATCAATATCTGGTTTGATACAGGTAATGACAATACAAACAGTATTTTCAAGATGCTCGTCTAAAATTTGTATTCTTATTTTATTTTTTATATGCTTCATGTGGGAAAACATCTGTTCTCAAATAGTATTCCTCAAAAGGGACGACATCATGAACATTCATGGTCAAAATTATTGGATAATAGAATTTAACGCAGGTAAATCCCGGCGATTAGACCCTCACGTGGGTAATCCCGGGTTAAGCAACATGCGACCGACGGTCTACAGGTTTGGCACGCTTGCACTAAACATTTATCTTTGGCACGCTTGCACTAAACATTTATCTTTGGCACGCTTGCACTAAACATTTATCTTTTATATCTTTTATATTAGCATGACAAATTTTTAAAAAGAAGTCGTAAAATAATTTGACCATTTTCCCACTTAATGAGGGTCTATAATTGTTATCCTTTGTCGGATTTTTAAAAGGCCCTTTAAAAATCCGACAAAGGACGTAACTTTATGTGCTAAATGAAATGCTGTTGTCTGTTCTATTTTACAATGGACATGAAAGATATTCATCAACAAATCATTTTTCAGAAGTTCAATCTCTGAGATAAGACACTTTCTACAATTTAATAAAATAATTTCAGCATATAAACAATATAGTTTATGACAGTTTACAGATTTTTGATAATAGATATCCTCAATTTTATTTAAACAGAAGTTCTACTTGCTCTGTTTCTAAAATATTTGATAAATATTTGTTCTATAATAATATATTCTAAAAACTGAATATATTATTATATAATATATATATAATCTCCATAAATATAATAATAATATTATATATAAACCCTATATTATTTTATAATATATTCTAAAAATTGAATTCGCAAAATCTCTTATGTTAACGATCTGATCGTTAAAATGCAAATTTACTAAATTATTATTCAATTATAAATTATTATTATTGAAAGGAAAATTTATGATTGAAAAAAATCTATGAAAGTCATATTTTATATATGTTTAGATTTCTAAACCGAAAAATTCCTTCGTTTTGAAAGTAATTTGTGGCCCTTAAAAGGGCCATTTAATTAGGGGTATCGTGTGACTTATGCCTTCTTTTCTGTTTTCCTTGGTAAAAGCGCTGCTTGAATGTTTGGCAAGACACCTCCTTGACTGATAGTGACACCAAGGAGCAGCTTGTTCAATTCTTCGTCGTTACGGATGGCGAGTTGTATGTGTCTAGGTATAATTCTAGATTTCTTATTGTCTCGTGCCGCATTCCCAGTCAGTTCCAGAACTTCGGCAGCCAGGTATTCCATAACTGCAGCCAGATAGACAGGTGCACCGGAGCCAACACGTTCGGCGTAATTACCCTTCCTCAGGAGTCTATGAATACGACTGACGGGAAATTGAAGTCCTGCTTTGAACGAACGGGACGACTTTCCCTTTGCCTTTGTTTTTCCAGCTTTACCACGGCTAGACATTTTAGATTTGTACTAAAAATGCGAACAAACACGACAGAACAGAAAACTTCTTTCCTCAACGATTGTGGAGTGAATATTTTTTTTCGGGTCCTCGAGCCTCGCTTATATACGATCCGCCGTAGCTGAATTCGACCAATGGGTGACGAGCAATGTTTCTATTGGTTAAAACGCACAACAATTTTCTAAATTGTTATTTTATATTATTTTCATAAATTAACGATTCTTCGAATTAATAATACATTTGAAATTTCATTTGATGCTTAAATCACTTTTTTTTTTGTTGTATAAGAATGTAAAAGAGCATTTTTGTACTAATATGCAGATTGAGCAAGTAAGAATTTTGCAGCTTTTCTTTAACGAAATATACATACATATGTATCAGAACATTTGTTCATCATATTATTTTTCACGATTGCTTTTTAGAATATTAAATTTATTATATGTATCTTTTTTTTGCTATTTTTTTTTTAGATTTCAATCAAATATTTTGTTATAAAAAACGTATTTACATTTGCTTATAGTAGTTACAATTTAGGAATTACGTTCACTTTGAAAATTGGGATACAGAATCTAAAACGTTAATTATCATTAAATATTTCTTGATTAAAATTAAACATTGTTTTGCAAAGAATTACGTATTGAAAACAGAATATAATTTAAATTTTAGTGTCACACGATATGATCATAAAAAACCTAAATTAAAAATTTATATGTACGTTCTTTTCTGTCTTTGTATGGGAAGTAATAAAAATTGTTAGCAGCGTTACTTATTTTATGTTTTAGGTATATATGTAAATTTCATTATATAATAAATAATTCTGATGAATTATATTATTGAAACACATTGATTAATTGTTCAATATTAATTGTATGAGAAAAAAAATTCCTGTTCTAATTCGATGAGCACAGTTCCAGAAATAATTTTTATCACAAACAGTAAATTTATAAACTGTATGAAAATATTTTACTAATTTATATATTTTATAGTATTAGTTCATAAATATAATTTATTACGCTAAATTTTCAAAACAAAAAATTTTTTTTTTTATATTATTTTTCCTTAGGTTATTATTGTAATATACGTTAGGTTATTTTTGTTACGTATATTTATTATTAAAAATGTAATTTTCGTATTTTTAATTTATTAAAAAAGAGCCTTAAAAATATGTTAGATATGTTACGTGTATAAAATCAATTGTATCGTAGAGAATGCTACGTAGCAGCAACGCACCAATCAAATTGTAGAAAGGCATAGGGGCTTCATACTGAATTCTGATTGGTTCGATGTAGCCTGCGTTTTAGCATATAAAAGACACGTTTTCTGACTAAGCCATAAAATTCTGTTCAACTGCGAGAACTCGAAGTTAATTGCGAAGTTAATTGAATAATCACCATGCCGCCGAAAGTAAGTGGAAAAGCTGTGAAAAAAGCTGGTAAAGCTCAGAAAAACATCAGCAAAGCCGACAAGAAAAAGAAGAGGAGGAGGAAGGAGAGTTATGCTATTTACATCTACAAGGTGCTCAAACAAGTGCACCCAGATACTGGTATATCCAGCAAAGCAATGAGCATCATGAACAGTTTTGTCAATGATGTCTTTGAACGCATTGCAGCAGAAGCGTCAAGATTGGCGCATTACAACAAACGTTCTACCATTACATCCCGTGAAATTCAAACTGCTGTGAGACTTCTGCTTCCTGGAGAATTAGCAAAACACGCAGTTAGTGAAGGCACCAAAGCAGTTACCAAGTATACCAGCTCGAAGTAAACAGTACAAAAATTGTTTCAAATAAAAATCGGTCCTTTTCAGGACCAACAAATTTTCAATCATGTTGGAATATCCCTTCAGGTTCTAAAAATTCGTTATTCTTTTCATATGTATTTTTTCGTATAAAGTAGAATTTCATTTATTTTAAATACATGAAAAGGCAAAATTATTCGGAATTGTTAATAGAAATTCACTAATTGATCAGTTATGAATTCATATATTTCAGACTCAATATTGGTTTGTACAAACAAAATTCGGATGAGGTTCCTTTGTACATTTTACTCTAATTTCGTCATAAGTTAAAACAGTAACGATTAAATTTTAATCTATTTCTTTATTTTGAAGACACGTATAAATTTAGAATTTTAATATAATATAATTTTCTGCACAAATATTTGTAATACAAAAGACTGACTTAAAATAGTGCTGTAAAATCTTGAATTCTTGCTAATAAAATGTTATCCTTATAAGTTACGAGGAAGAAATTCATTATTTGATGCAATAAAATGAAGTTACATTTTCGTATATTTTAATTCATCAATTTAATAAAAACAGTGACAATGAAAATTGAAAACAACTTTTCTCCAATATATTCGTCATATTTCTTTAAAGTTTTTGCGCACTTTCTTCATATGCGTGAAGTTGAATGATACTCATTTTATTTTCCCTATTCGTAATTAAGCACAATCTGCCACAATTAAATAAGAAAATACCCTAGAAAGTTTATTACTCACGTATGGTAGGCTTTCAAAACGCGTGTATACCAATAACTTTCTATGATCACGTCATTTGTGTAGGATGAAAACGTTGTGATTACAACTATAAAGGTAGGAGCGGGATTATTGCGAGTGATTTACTTGTACGTTTATTTATGAGAATTTTACGTAACTTGATATTTAACCGGGCAATTAAAAAAAAATCGTGGAAATTTCTTTATTAACCAGTAACAGGATAACATATTTGTGTTAAATTATAAACATGTCTGACGAAAAGAAGGTAACGTTTCATAACCTTAAAGCCTGATGTAATGATAAAAAGTGACGACTGAGAAGGATATCCTTTGTTACAGGAAACGAAAACAGAGTCAGAGCACATAAATTTAAAAGTGCTGGGACAGGACAGTGCAGTGGTTCAATTTAAAATTAAGAAACACACACCACTCAGGAAATTAATGAATGCCTATTGTGATCGTGTGGTATCTATGTTTCATTTTATTATTAGATAGTAACGAAGTTACATGTAATGTATAAGCAATGTGTGACATAATATTAACATTATACACTACGTATTTAATTTATGTAGTTTTATTTACACCTGTAGTCGATGGATAATTAGTGATTATTGTTTCTGCAAAGAGTATTCTGTTCCTTTATAGGGTTTGGCGATAGCAGCAGTAAGGTTCAGATTTGATGGAGAACCCATAAATGAATTAGATACACCAACAACCCTTGAAATGGAAGAGGGTGATACAATAGAAGTTTATCAGCAACAAACAGGAGGAACATTGTGTTGAGATTTATGATTGTCCCTTAATAGTTTAAAAATGGACTTGATAAGAAATTTCTGTTCCAGTGCTTACTTTGAACAAGAGGCATAAATTATTTTCTATTTTTTCCAATACAAAAGAATATTTCATTTCATAATACAATGTGGGGAAAATTATTTATACATTTTGTATATTTTAAACTTACAGTTACAAATCATACAGTTCAATCTATGTGTTTGTTTTATCTGAAAAGCAATTTTTTTACATACATTTTATATTATTTAATGTGGAATAATAACTTAAGAGTATAATAATTTTTCATGATGCATGAAGTTTTTAATTAGTCTATTGTAAAATTTGGATTTTTCTCTGAATGTATCATTTTAATACTTAATAATTTGGCTAAAGACGTTGTAAAACAAGCTTATTATGTTATAGTTAGTAATATACATTGTAAATGAAGGCATGTTGATCGCCTCCAGCATTTTGCACTATGTAGAAAAAAAACATCTACATCATACGGACACATGTTACTTATAAAATATAAGATTCTTTGTAAATGATTTTCATAAAAGAAAAAAAATTACTAATGTAAAATCTCAAATTCTCTTAATAAATTTCATCTTTGTAGGAACATTCGTTTATTATAACAATGTACAGATAGGACAATGACAGAGCATTATTACACAAATAATGTGTTAATATTTAATATTGTAACTATTTTTAAAAAGTTCGTAAAAATTTCATTTGTGTTTTTTACTTTCCATGAAAATATTACTTTGTATATGAACAAATAATAAATTGTGTCTTATCTTTTCTATAAGGGATCGCTTATTTTTCAGTCATATTCTTCGCGAGGCAAATTGTGGAATTTTAAAATTTTGAATTAATGACAACTAAAAATTTTAATATTATCGTCAAATTAAATTACATCAATTGACATAATTTATTTTTGTAAAAACTTTGTATTAAATGTATATGCGTATTTAGTAAATTTGAAATAATTATTATCAACAAATAATTATATTTGTTAATAATTAGTATATTATACTTATATAGACATATAATAATCAACGATTAGAAAAATGTTCCTATAAATTTTTTACCAAGTTATATTAAAAAAGAATATGGTATTCTGTTACTAGGGATATAATTTCCACTATTAGAAATACCCTAATATTCTATTCCTAGGAACTTTATTTCTTTATTGTCAGAAATACATTTCAGCCATCTATATAATAGTATGTTAAGGAACATGGCGGTTAGTTGATGGAAACGTGTACGTAAACAAAACCTTAAGTTTTACTAATTTTGTAATAAATAAATAATTTGTAAATAGTAAAATCATAATAAATATATATAAATATATACATATAGTAAGATCAAGAAATAAATGTATGATATACGATTACGAAAAATTGTACAATTGTTATGCGTTGGTGATACATCTACTGTACATTCAGCAAAAGATCGATATCTTTTTGTAAAAATTTAACATCATATTGGTTTCTTGAATCTCAATCATAAAAAATGGTCGATTCTGAAGAAGAAAATGATAAGGACATAATGTCTGGAATCAATATGACTGGCTTTTTGTTTGGAAACATTGATGACGATGGTCATTTGGAAGATGATATTCTTGATCCAGAAGCAAAGCAACACATAGCTTCGTTAAATAGACTTGGATTAAGTTCATTTATTCGTGAAATGATGCAAAATGAAGACATTGAAGAAGAGAAAGATAATGATACTAATGACAAGCCTGATGAAGAGAATGACATGGTCGATGAAAAAGATACCAACTACATTGAGAAATCGCCCAGTGCTCTTGACTTCTCTGACATAAATGAATTAGCAGAGGATGAAAAAGAAGAAAATAGTAAATATGACATTTTATTTTTTTGTGTGTAAAAGTTAAATTAGATGTATATACGCAAGTATTACTTTAATTGATAGGTAAGGAGAACATGTTTGATGGAAAAACTGAAAAGGAAAATGCTGATTACGATGCAGACGATGAAGAAGTTGTTAATAAATCTGATACACAATTAATGCCACCACCTCCGATTCCCGAAGAAAAGGAAGCGCTCACTGCAGAAGAAGTTGAAGCTGCGCGTCAACGTAAATTAGAAACTCCTCTTGCTTCTATGTTACCATCGAAATATGCCAATGTTGATGTTACTGAATTATTCCCTGATTTTCGAGCTAATAAAGTTTTAAGGTTCTCAAGATTATTTGGTCCGGGAAAACCTAGTAGTCTTCCACAAATATGGAGAGGTGTTAAAAAAAGACGCAAGAAGAAAAGGCATCACGATGTTAGAGATTCTGATTCTGGTTCTGATCAAGAGGAAAAGAAACAAAAGTTCAAAGTATGTATAAATAGTGTTTCTCTTCCAGAGTAATAATTTTTATATTATTAATTAAATATTTATTAGGGTTGGGTGATGCAATATGGTCCAGATCCAACACCAGATATATGTCGTTCTGATGATGAAACAAAATTGCTAATGCCAGTAGAAGATAAAGAACAAATTGACAAAACAGGTGAAACTGGAGAAAATGGAGATATGGGACCAAAAGTTGCTGATTGGAGGTTCGGTCCTGCACAGCTTTGGTATGATATGCTTCAAGTACCAGAAACTGGGGATGGTTTTAACTATGGATTTAAACTTGTTGACAAGGTATTTAATTTGTGTGTATGTCAAAGTATTAATACATCATTTGGAAAATATAATTTAATGTTGCTAAAAATCAGTTTATCATAGATAATGCTGTTATTATATTTCTAATAGCTAGACGAACAAAATAATAATGACAATAAAGATAATAAAGATGATAAAGTTGATAAAGATATCTATGAGGAGTTTTCTGATGATGCGTTTTTAATGGTATCACAATTGCACTGGGAAGATGATGTTATATGGAATGGTGATGACATAAAGCATAAGGTACGTAATATTTTAGTGTGAGATATTCTTAATTATATATTTGTATAAAGTAATAAGTAAGAATATGAATACTTTGAAAGGTATTACAGAAATTAAATAGCAAAAATAATGCGGCTGGGTGGGTACCATCCAGTGGAAACAGAACTGCTCAGGCATTCAGTCAACCAGGCAAAGGAGCACCTGTACCAGTTTCATCAAATGTTCGATTAGCTACTTCACAAATTACAACTCCATTACACATGCAATCTCAGAAAACTAAATTGTAAGAAAAGTAGTGACCTACATGTTAATGCTTTATGAAGAAATTGCTGCGTATATAATTCCTTTTCATTTTTATTTTTAATAGGAACATGAACAAAGGAAATCAACAACAAAATCGGGAAGAAAATTACGATGACACTTGGTATTCCATTTTTCCTGTGGAAAATGAAGAATTAGTCTATGGACTTTGGGAAGAAGAAGTGATTTGGGATCCTGAAAATATGAAAAAGATTCCAAAACCTAAAATTCTTACCTTAGATCCAAACGATGAGAATATTGTTCTTGGTATTCCTGACGATATCGATCCAGCATTAATTCATAAAGATAATGGACCTCAACCGAAAGTGAAAATACCTCATCCTCATGTGAAAAAAAGCAAATTATTATTAGGAAAAGCTGGAGTGATTAATGTATTAGAAGAAGATACGCCACCTCCACCACCAAAATCACCTGATCGAGATCCATTTAATATTTCAAATGATACGTAAGTTAATTTAGTAATGGCTTTAATTTCTACAAAAATAAAAAATATTCTATTTTCGGTATTATTTAGATATTACATGCCGCGATCATCAGAAACGACATTACGATTAAAAGTTGGAGGTGGAAATTTGATACAGCACAGTACACCGGTAGTAGAATTACGTGCTCCTTTTGTTCAAACTCATATGGGCCCAATGCGACTTCGAAATTTCCATAGACCACCCTTAAGAAGATTTAGTCATGGACCACTTGCTCATCCTGGTCCGCATTCTGTTTTACCATTAATAAAACATATCAAAAAGAAAGCTAAAGTATGTATTATTTTTTATGACTTTTGTTTGTTAAGTAAGAGCAAAAATTAAACGATATTTACACATTAGCAAAGAGAACAAGAAAGAATTGCATCTGGCGGAGGTGACGTCTTTTTTATGAGAACCCCTGAGGATTTAACTGGGAAAGATGGTGAATTAGTACTTATTGAATTTTCTGAAGAGCATCCTCCTCTGATGAATCAAGTAGGAATGTGTTCCAAGGTGAAAAATTATTACAAAAGAAAGGCAGGGAAAGATCAAGGACCACCAAAATACAAATACGGTGAAACTGCTTATGCTCATACTAGTCCATTCCTTGGAATTCTTACACCTGGCCAAAGCATACAAGCAGTTGAAAACAATATGTACAGAGCACCAATTTATGAACATAAAATTCCAGAAACAGATTTCTTAGTTATTAGAACAAGGTATTTTGATAACATTTTCTTTTACTTATAGTATGAGAAATTTATTTGAATTAATAAATTCGTTTTCCACATATAGACAACAATATTACATCAGAGAAATGGATGCTTTGTTTGTTGCTGGTCAGGAGTGTCCATTATATGAAGTTCCAGGTCCTAATTCAAAGAGAGCTAATAATTTTGTGAGAGACTTTTTACAAGTATTTATATACAGATTATTTTGGAAATCTAGAGACACACCTAGACGTATTAAAATGGACGATATTAAAAAAGCATTCCCCTCACACAGCGAAAGTAGTATTAGAAAACGTTTGAAACTGTGCGCTGATTTTAAAAGAACAGGTATTTATTATTGTACAATTTATACTGCAAATTTTTCAAATCTTATTATAAATCTGACGAATGTTAAACTTTTTTATGTTAGGCATGGATTCAAATTGGTGGGTTATAAAACCCGACTTTAGATTGCCAACCGAAGAAGAAATTCGAGCGATGGTGTCTCCTGAGCAATGTTGCTCTTATTTTAGTATGATTGCGGCCGAGCAAAGGTTAAAAGATGCTGGTTATGGTGAAAAATTCCTTTTTACTCCTCAAGATGACGATGACGAAGAAATGCAATTAAAAATGGACGACGAAGTGAAAGTTGCACCTTGGAATACGACACGAGCGTATATTCAGGCTATGAAAGGGAAATGCTTGTTACAACTGGCTGGACCAGCTGATCCTACAGGTTGTGGTGAAGGATTTTCTTACGTTCGAGTACCAAATAAACCTACGATTAGTAAAGTAAGAATTTAATACATATTTTACTGTCATACTTTTTGTTATATGTCTTATATCTTAAATTATTTGTTTTATAATTTCAATTAGGAAGAACAAGAAGCTCAACCAAAGAGGACTGTAACTGGAACTGATGCCGATTTAAGAAGATTATCCTTAAATAACGCAAAAGCATTACTTCGAAAATTTGGCGTACCTGAAGAAGAAATTAAAAAATTATCACGATGGGAAGTAATTGATGTTGTTAGAACTCTATCAACAGAAAAAGCTAAAGCCGGAGAGGAGGGTATGACCAAGTTTTCAAGAGGAAATCGATTTTCTATCGCTGAACATCAAGAAAGATACAAAGAGGAATGTCAAAGAATTTTTGACTTACAAAATCGTGTCTTATCTTCTAATGAAGTTTTGAGTACAGACGAAGGTGAGAGTTCCGAAGAAGATAGTTCTGACATAGAAGAGATGGGTAAAAACATAGAAAACATGCTTTCAAATAAGAAAACTAGTACTCAGCTTTCGCTTGAACGAGAGGAACAACAACGACATGAATTACGAAAGATGTTGATGGGTGAAGTTCAAGAACAAGATAAGAAATCCAAAGAGAAAAAGAAAGATGATGAAGAGGATAGTCCTGTAAATAACTTCAATTCGCAACAGGGTAGAGTTCTCAAAATTTATCGAACGTTTAGAAATCCAGAGGGCAAAGAATATACAAGAGTAGAATTAGTAAGAAAATCCGCGGTAATAGACACGTATATAAAGATTAGAAATTCTAAGGATGAAACGTTTATTAAACAATTTGCAACGTTGGATGAGGCGCAAAAAGAAGAAATGAAGAGGGAGAAACGAAGAATACAGGAGCAGTTGCGTAGAATTAAACGGAACCAAGAACGTGAACGTATGCTTGGTGGTCCAATGACAGGAAACAATACATCGTCGAGTAATATATTCGATCGCAGTAGTACCAATACCCCAACCACTACGTCCTCAAACAGTATCCTTCCATTCTGTAATTTACCTTTCCAATCTACTTCTCCTGCTTCTAAACATCCTAAAACCGAAGTATCTCCTTCTAAACGTAAAAAACCTAAACTTAAACCAGATCTTAAACTGAAATGTGGTGCTTGTGGCAATGTAGGTCATATGCGCACGAATAAAGCTTGTCCTTTATATCAGAATAGCATAACTACAGCGCCGGTGAATGTTGCGATGACGGAAGAACAAGAAGAAGAAATTGAGAAACAACTTAATACGGATGATCAAGATCTCGTTAATGTAGATGGAACGAAAGTGAAATTATCCTCCAAATTAATTAAGGTAATTTATTAAAATACCTTAAAGAAATTAAAACTTGATAATCATTTTGATATTAATTTTTGTTTCTTTTTTTTACAGCATGCTGAAGAAATGAAGAGGCGTACGTTACTCTTGAAAGTGCCTAAGGAGGCAGTAAGCTCGAAAAAACGAAGAAGAGCTACTGGAGATGATCATTGTGATTATCTTAAACGACAACAGAGACCTGCTAACAGACGTAGAACAGATCCTGTTGTTGTCATGTCTACCATGCTAGAAAGTATACTTAACGAAATGCGAGATCTACCTGATGTTCAACCTTTCTTGTTTCCTGTTAATGCTAAAGTATGTTTTATTCTTACTAAACTTTTTTTTTATATAAATTAATCTCATAATTACTTATTTATAATTGAAGAATTTATCTATATATTTCATAAATAGGCTGTTCCTGATTATTATAAAATCATACAAAGACCTATGGATTTACAAACTATACGTGAAAATTTAAGATTAAAGAAATATCAAAGTCGAGAAGAATTTTTGGCTGATGTTAATCAAATTGTAGAAAATTCAACTCTGTATAACGGGTCAAAGAGTTCATTAACAGTGGCAGCTAAGCGTATGCTCGAAACTTGTGTAGAAAGACTCGGAGAGAAGGAAGATCGCTTGATGAGATTAGAAAAAGCAATTAATCCTCTATTAGATGACAATGATCAAGTTGCTCTTACTTTCATCTTAGACAATGTTGTAAATAATAAATTGAAATCTATGACAGAAGCTTGGCCATTTTTGAAACCAGTTAATAAGAAATTAGTGAAAGATTATTATAATGTTATTAAAAGACCTATGGATTTAGAAACTATATCTAAAAAAGTATCTGGTAAGTTAAACAATAACAACTATAATAGTATTGAATTTTTTCAATTCTTTTTACAAATATTTATACTTATTTCTTTCAGCACATAAGTACCATAGTCGCCACGAGTTTCTTAGGGACATTGAACAAATTTTGGAAAATTGTACAGTATATAACGGGAAGGAATCTCCATTTACGCAGAAAGCAGAATTGCTAGTGAAAGTTTGTAAAGAAACATTGGACGAGGTATTTACGAACTTTTTTAAAAGTTTATTATATTTTAATCTTCTTAATATTCATAATTAAATTGTTTTGTACATACAGTATGATGAACATTTAACACAATTAGAAAATAACATATTATTGGTACAAAAACGAGCAATGGAGCAAGCGGATATTGATCCTTCATGGCTTGGACCGGATGAAGAAAACTATACTATCGTAGAGCCAGAGTTTAGAGGGGTAAAATATCTATCCGTTCAAATACATAGATATATAGTCTTATAAGAGATATAATAGTCTAAGAAATTTCATAAATTACTATGTTATTAATTATTAATTATTATTTACAGAGTCAAACAAGTTCGCCAGAAAATGCATTTGGGAAATCGAATATGGATGATTTTGATTTCGTGGATGTGGAGGGTGATATGGAAGGTGATGGTAGCAGAAGTGTAAATTCGAAAAAGAAAGACGTTCTTGAAGAAGGTGAAAAAGATTTTATAAAATTATTTTTAGTTTTACTTAAATAAAAATGTATATAATGTAATTAATATATATTTCGTTATAGATCTACAATTCTCTAGTGAAGATGAATTTGACGAAGTTCCATTTGGTACCGATGAACAATCGGAAAATGCAGAAATGGAAACGCTTGAATTAAATGAAGTTAGGGAAGGTACAGAAAATGAGGTAGTATTAGCGGATGATGATAGTCAACAAGCAGCAGAAGCTATGGTTCAATTAGGTAATGTCGGTTTCTATATGGCGGACCAACAATTGCTTCAACAAGGTTAGTAATTAAAATGAAATACTTTATAAATTCATTTATTATTTTATAATTTCATTAATCAAATCGCATATTTTTTAAATTATAGATGAAAGTATGGATGTTGATCCAAATTACGATCCCTCGGACTTTTTACTAGCTGGCTTACCAGCAAGAGACGAGAAAAGTGAAAATAAAATCCAGGATGATCTTGCTGTCTCTGAAAGCGATGATGATACAGAAAACAATGCGAAACAAAAACAAAAAACACCACAGCAATTATCGCAACCAGAAGAGGATGTTGGTGGTGATCTTTGGTTCTAAAAAAATGTTATTTTTTGAGCTAATTCTATTTCGTAGTTTACTTCTTAAATCAAAAAACTTATTACAAAATACAATGAGAGAGACAAAGTAAAATATTTATTTCTTATAGAAATAATTAAATTTCAATATTTGAAATTAAATAATATATATACATATATGTTTTTCTTTAGATATGATCTTGTAAAAAGCAAAACGACATGCATATCTACAAATATTGTATACATATGTGTAAATACATAGTAGGAAATTGTTTTTTAAATATCACGCGTAGTTTATTTTTTACGTACAGTAAATAAATATATACAAAGAAAAATCATCGAATATAAAAAGCTGCAAATTCAGTTATATATATTTAAAATTTTAACCAAAATTCTGTTTGTAATGTTTCTTTATAATATTAATGTAATATTTCTTAATAATGATTACTGATGAAGAATTGAAAATTAAAATGAACTACATACTTGAAACGTGTACATCTATAGATTTACATGATAAAAAAAAAATACTTAACAATATAGCTAGTGTAACAAAAAGTGCATTACAGAACCAACTGATAATTTATGAACCAAATGCCATTATTACATGTATTATTAAACTGTTCTTTTATTACAATGAAACCGCATCTCAAAATATATGTAAATGGAAACGACGAAGAAAATGTCGACTTGCAAAAGAATGTTACATTAGTTTATTACAAGTATACATTCCTGAAAAGTCTAAAGAAGTTTTAGAAGCTGTAATTAACGTGATTTATGAAGATAAGCTTTGGGAATTTGAAACCTTTTGTTTTGAAATTATGTGTTCTTTATTGGAATATGGTATTAATGCATCATTAACGATTCATCTTATGTGGGATAGAATTGAAACTTTAAATGTAAACATAGAAGATACAAGAAAAATCATAAGAATATTATACGAATTATTAGATGTTTACAACTGGCCAGATACTCACGAAACAGTAACAGTTATTGAAAGAATCTTAAATCTTTTTTATATTTCTATAACTAGCTCGCATGCAACTGTTAATGTTATGCCATACGCAATGTTCAAAAAAGGTTTAGAAGTCTGCATAATTAATATAGTAAAGCACGTATCCAATGATCATCTTCTCATCATAATCCAATATATGTGTTCGTGGGTTGTGGAAAAAGGAATGACTGATGAAATTATTTTAGACTTTGGCAGTACACTTGAATACACAGCCTACATACATAAGGTAACATTGTATGAAAAAACTTTAACTCCAAAGATATTTCCATTATTAATGGAAATGATAGCATCAACAAGTAAAATAATCAGCCTATTGGGTAACAGAGTTACTCAGTATTTGCTCGACAGAGAAGAAAACAAAATGAATTTTGATACGCCTAAAATATTTTTCGAAGATATTCAATTTGACCTCACAATAGGTAAATGTTTCAAAGAAGATAAACTATTCTGTAAACTTCACAGAGAAATTTTGCACGATAGCATCCTAAAAAGTATCATAAATCATTGTACATCACGTATGAATTTAGAAGCTACTTATTGTACGATATGCCTGATTGCTGTAGAAGTGCCATGCGGATTCATAGCAGCAGCCCTGGTTTGTCTTTTAATGAATGTGCAAGATGTAACTTTGAAGCAAACTAAACATCATGCCGAAATATCTTATCATATACATGCAACAGTGATAGCAGTTATGTCCCTTTTGTGTTGGATTCACAAAGCCAAAGCATTTTACGAGTATGTGAACAAAGTAGTGATGGAGAGGGCACAGTGGGCTCCGCATTTAAATCCTCCTATTCAATCTCAATATAATTTCGCGGCGCATCACATACTTTGGAACAAACCAGATTTGTTTTTTGTAGATTGGGAAGCTCGTTATGGTTTGTGGAAATGTTTCCGTTTACACGAAACTGAAGAAGAAACGCATGATACATGATTATTCATCGAAAATCATGATACAATGTATACTATGAGACAAAAATAAACGTTACACCATCATTCATTCTACGTAATATTACGAACATTAATAAATAATTTTAATTACCGACCTATGCTTCCTTTGGCGATATTTTTTGTAATAGATCTGTAATCATAAAATCATTCATATAAATAACTATCGTCAAAATGGCTGTGTTTCGACATTATACAGCACAATTCACAGTATTACGCATTAAATAAAGCCAATAGAAATTGACAGTGTGTGGCATTACGTTCAATATTTTGTTGCAGTTTGTGTTTTCTAGATGTAAAACAAAACAAAGTTGATACAACCCAGGTTTATTTACAATTAAACAATGTGATAATTTAATCAAGTGACTGATATTCGTTCGTCCATCTTACATCATTCTGAACAATTTTTGATTCGCCAAACATTTACACTCTATTAACTGTAAATTGCAATTTAGAATTAGACATGAATCCCTTGGAGATTGATAAAACATTTCTTCGTAATTCCGAAGAAACTGTGGGAAAGTGTTGACAAATGAAATTAAATGAATTTTCGAAGTGCGAGATCTGCTGCAGTTATTAAAATTCAATTGTTTACATAACGAACTTCAACTTTTGTGGATTATTTCCATCAGATCATCAAATTGCGTTTCAATAAAGGTTAACTTTTTAAATAAATTATAATGGTTATTGTTCTTTCACTGTCAGTGTCCTTTGACTGTGTGACAATATTATTTTGTTTCTAGCAAGAAAAAGTTTTGCTATATGTATGATTTAATGTATAAATTTTAATTGTGCAAATACTAAATAAAGTTTTGTCAGTTCATGCAAAATTACTTAGAATAAAATGTAATAGAAATTGTATGAGTTGTAATATTTATAAGTAATAATTTTTGTTATGGATGTTTACTTTTTCAGTTATTTAAATATTTTTAAAGAAACAATGTCTGGAGAACAATTTTCATTGGTTTGGAACAGTTTTCCAACAAATTTATCCTCTGGATTATACACATTACTAACTGATGAACAATTAGTTGACGTAACGTTAGCTGCTGAGGGCCAGATACTACGTGCTCATAAGTTAATATTGTCAGTTTGCAGTACGTATTTCAGGGAATTGTTCAAGGTACATTTTAACTTGTCTCACATGACTCATATTTTCTCCTATGATGTTAAAGTACTTGTAACAACACAGGGAAACTCTTGCAAACATCCAATTGTAATTTTAAAAGATGTCAACTACCGTGATCTGTCAGCAATGCTTCATTTTATGTATCAAGGAGAAGTTAACATTAAACAAGAAGACATTGCTAGTTTCTTGAAAGTGGCAGAGACTTTACAAATAAAGGGTTTAACCACAGAAACAGGAGAGGTACATTCTATTAAGCTTAAGAACCTTAAGAATAACAGGATATAAATAAAAGGATTATTTTTAATTTGCAGAAACTTGGAGAAACATTAACGAAAAATACAGATAACTTGGATCAAATATTTAATGCAGAAGACAGCAGTATTAATTCTATCAATTCGGATGCAAATGCTCCTATTTTTGACGAACAAAGGCATTTTATAGAGAAGAACCAACAATGTCAAAAACAATGTGTATTATCAAAAGATGATCTAGCTAACAATGAATTTACAGAAAATACTAATGTCAGTGACATGCATTGTCAGCAAGAATCTTCTGATTCATCTCATAACATACAAGATGTACAAACTGATGTGGACAACAACATTTCTACAAGTGTAAGAGAAGAAGAAGAACCATTAGACTGTACAGCTGATATAAGTCACATAGAGTCAACAAAGCATGAACCATTGGATTATACAATTGACGTAGATACAGAAGCAGGATATAAAACATGTTTGCCTAACGAACCGCTTTATAAACCTGAAGAAAATTTACAAACAAAAGGTATTAGTTTTACATGTTTTGTTAGCGTAATTATTTAAAAGATTATGTAATTAGTAGGCTGATGACTATAAAGACATCATTTGGGGCTGAAAAATATTACATTTGCTGAATGAATGAGTACTTCGAAACGAGATGAATAAAATTAGTGAAGAGACTACAGTCACTAGCTGTTGATGCAAAAGATTTGACACACTCAACTTTTTCGTCGATGGATATACAGTTGTACAAATCTCTTTAATAAAATTAATTTTACAATGCAATCAATTATATATGTGCATGCTTATTTACTGGGTGTTTCAAATCTCAATTTCATGCAATTCGATACTTTAGAATAGCAAATGTTGAAATAAAAAATTTTATATTTTACAGATTATATGCCAGATATGCAATTAGTACCTTACAGTCAGAATACACAAACTCAATCGTTTGGTGAGTCTTTAATTTCGATCTTATAGCTTCATCTGTACTTTAATTTTCTGAAACATATTACTTATTTTCACCTATCTAATAGGTTTAAGTAACATGTCTAGTTTCGAAACTGAATTTACATACGAAACTGGTTGTCATGGTAAAGGTCGCCGAACTGTTAAAGGTATATCCAACAACAGTTTGCCACTGGAAACAACTTTACGCGTTGTATCTGAACTGGGACCAACTTTGCGTATGGAAAGAGGCAAAGTTATCCGAATGTATTCGTGTCCATGGTGTCTTCGTCATTTTACGCGTAAGGAAAATCTTAAATTACATGTTCGATATATTCACGGTCCGCTTGAAAGCCTAACATGTAGACTTTGCGGTAATAAATATAAAAACAGTAACAGTTTACGTGTACATTCGTATCTGTACCATAACGCCAATCGCGACAAACCTAACAAGTCAATAGTAGATGGTGGCGCATGAAATTAAAATCGAACAATTAATATTAAGATTTGCAAGAAATTATTGCATCGTAAATGTAATATAATTGATGCGATGTAGTTTTATTCCCAAGAAAGTCTGACGTTTGTTGGCGATTAACAAGAAACTTTATAAAAATTTAATTATTTAATATTTTTCTATTTACATTTTGTTTCATATAATTATGAAGCTATTTAAAAATGCTCGATAAATTTGGAGATATATGATATTCTCCTAATTAGCAGGTATAAACTTAATTAGACTTAATAAAGACAAATTTAGAATCTGAACTCAATTACATATTTTATATTAAACAGGTTACTTTAAAGAAAGAAAATCAATTGTAAACATATATGTATATTAATATATCATTTTGTAAATATATATACATTTGTAATAAAATAAAACATTTACAATTTTATGTTCTTTTTAGAAATCGTTACCTACCGAAGCATCATAACACACTCATCAATATTATGCAAATTTAACACAAGATATCGCATCATAAATTTTTATGTTACTGCTTCAACAATTTTCCTGTCTGCCTGCACACTGAAAGTGCACTCTTTCCTGTAAGAATTCAAGAATCTCCTTCTCCTTAAGAACGAAAACAGAAATAGAGAAATAGAAGAACAGTAAAAAGTAAAAAGAAGTAACAGTAAAAAGAAGGAAAGAGAGGTATCTAAAAATTGATCCTATTTCAATTCTGTTCCAAAGTATTCAGATCACCAACTAGCAATCTCCCGTCACAACAAGACAAGTACACACTAATAAACCAACTACCACATCGACTCGCTCTCAAAATAAAATTATCATTAGCTCAGCAAGCATTACGAGGAATTCCTATATACAAGAAACTTCACTTTATCGTCAGAAATCCCTTATCTCCCGACGAATGATGAATACCAATGTTCTAACGTACACTTCTCGCGATTCCTGAAAGTCGATCAAAGGCCGAAAGATCCAGCGATTATCGTGACTGGCCGCCTATAATTAAACATATTTGCGATTGGATTTAGCGGTATGGATGATGATAAATCACATCACGATTCGCCGACAAATGCCATGGATCCCTGAGGATTTCCGAGGACGAGGGGAACGCGATGAGACCGAGGACAGTGGCTTCGCAATATCATCGAGCTACCGTCTGGCTGGCCTTTTGCAACAAGGTCGGGGGTCACATCTTCGAGACATAATTATCCATAGAGAGCGAAACCGTCAGTAAAACCGCGGATGCTCAAGCCACGCGGGCATTCCCTACGATTACTATAGTGAAATTTACTATCACTGAGCTTTATATTGATTTTAAGCGTTGTCGATTAAAATCGTTCCGGTTTTGACTTACCATTGAGAGAAAGTTCAGAAAGTGTTGACATTATCGTACAGATCATGGTCACGTTCTATTTTCTGGACATCCTTGGAATTTCATTGCTGTTGCACTTGAGCTTTAGTATATTGCTGCTGGTCATTTTGGTGCCATTTATGCTATTTGTTTATCCGGGTAATTATCTTTGAAGAAGATTTATCTGATTGTGGTTGACAGTTAATTCTTTAACAGTATAATCCGAAAAAGAGTTAGTTATACATATTATAGATTTCATATATATATATATATATATATATATATTTGTATGGTAAATGTCATTATATATGTAATTATTAATATTTATTTTCTATAAAAAAGTACCTGAAATAATTATTTTCTAAATTAACGTTTCTAAATTTTTGTTATTTTGTTAAATTATCGCAGAATTATAAGATAGTCATAGTTGTTTTTTATGATAATCGCAGAACGATAGAAAAGCAGGTACTAGATAAACTTGTACATAGTGATGTATGTAAATAAATATTTTTTTATTACTTGCATAATTTATATTTTATAAACGTGTATTTTCTTATTATTTTTTTTTTTTTTTTTTCATTAAATCAGATGTTTTTGAAAGCTAAGAAAAATTTTGCTTTAACGAACAAATGATACATGTCATAAAAAAATGATTTGTGTAATAATTGACAAGAAATATCTTATTAATAAGAAAATTATTCGAAGAGATATGTAATTGACAAAAAAAAAAGAAATTCTGTTACGATAATGCAGACTTTGCTTATAGAATTATAACTTTGATTATAGAATTATGTAAGATTTTATAAATTTTATGTCATTCAAATTGTTTACATGACACAAATTTCGAGGTTTCTTTCTATACTTATACAAACTAGTTTTACAATAATAATAATAAAATGATGAGATAATTGTAGAAACGATTATAATTTTGTTATTACAACTAAAATTATTTCACATTTGAATTTCAATTATCATTATTATTATAAGAACAAACATTTTTATTTCTTTTTAAGTTCTGGCATGGTCAAGAAAGGGTTGGATACGTTTTGTAAAATGGAAATATCCAAACGTGGTCGTCGTGGAAGAGAACAGCATCCGAACAATTCTGGATCAATTTCGAAATCACGTAGGTGCAACGAATTGGCCAATTTAACAACTTTGTAGATCATCAATTCATAACACGTTTCTTCTGAAATTTAGGGGATTTATACTTTGCTGATTCAAGGCCGTTCGATCGCAGAAAGTATTCGCGGCCATTTAATACATCTGGCTACATCCAGAAGATTTCTTCGTGCAGGACTGTCTACGCGATGCGGTCTTTATGTATGGAAGGATCTTGATTATTTCTCCGTGGACAATCACTTGTTAAATTCACCATGTTCATTCAGAGGTCGACCCATCACGGAGTTCAACATTCAGGTCGGTTTCAAAAGTTCAATTTTCCATACTCTGTTTTATGTTTATGTTACGTTATTACTTAATTTTTTGCATTTCTACATTCCTCATAATCCTTATGAGAATGTAGAAATTATTTTACACTCTTCGATGCAATCGATCCCTATGTTCTTCTTTATACCACAACTCTAAAACTTCAAAGTAATTGTCCTGATGCTTTTCTTCACGTTTTTTTTTTTTTTTTGAATATTATTTCTTTTCATTCTATGCTTTTTAACACTATTGAAGATGATAGAAGAAGAATACGATAAGCAATATTAGAATTCAGTAGAATTCAGATGTAGTTAGTTCTATGTTAACAAAACCTTTTATTTTTTTGAGATGAGGGACAAGTATGTATCTTTGCACCTTATTGAACACTTCAGGAAAGACGATTTTATCAAATCAGTGATATCAAATACATCCTCGATTGTCTTTAAAATTTCACTCACAATCTCTGGCTTGTTTCTACAGAAACTTCTTTTATGAAAAGTTAATAGCTATCGTGTTCTTTCCTTCTGTATCCCCCTCAATTATTTCTCTGTACGTTTCACTCTTAACTCTTATTATTTGCGCACGTTCGAAGGCAAACAAGTCTGTAATGTAGCTATTTGCAGTGGATTCATGCATTTTAGGATTACGTGAGCGATCTCACGTCGAAGTTCTTTCCATCGGGCCAACCACCGTGGCAGGTGCACGTGATAAACTGTTTCCTCCGCGGAGAGGAGTACCAAATCTGTCTAGTGAGGGTCCATCATCTGCTTCTTCGACAGGAACATCTAGTGTTGGCCGATTTCCTTCCGTTGAGATGTTCTACCGATAGTTGGGCGTGTCAAGAAACGGATTCTCCTTTCACGAATCTCTACTCAGGGCCATCAGCACTCCCGAAACTTTACCAGAAACTCACGGAAAGCTTCAGTAATTATTGGAACGAATTTCTATGTAATAACGATCCAAACGAGAGGCCAGAGATCTTGAAGAAGCAGATTGGTATTTTTCAATGCTCGAAAATCGGTGTGATCGTTTTAGTTTCTTCGTTGAAAGAGATGACAAGGTACAGAATTTTTGTTGATCTTCTTTTTGTTTTCGATAATTTCACTTGGTCAAAGATCATGGTGTATTCGAGGAAGGAACTAATGAAATTATATATTGTATTGGAGACGATAATTCAGTTCGACGGGTATTATTTAATCCTTTTAACGATGTGCGTATTAAGGGGCACTTCTTAGGTATCGTTGCAGCGAAACTGACGCTAAAAATATTAACGTGAATCGAATACATTGTGTTTTTTTTTAGTATATTTTTTATTTGCATTTGGAACTGGAACTTTTACGTGGCTGAATAACACGTTTTGCGTTTTATAAACTGAATTTTTGAAATATTTTTAGAATTTTGTTTGTCTTAGTATCATTCCTTGTAATAATATTATTTCTTCTACATATTACTTACAACTAGCATCACTTTTAATGCTCTGTTTCTTCACTATAAGCATTAAGGTGTACGAAATTATTTACTTAGCAAAAGAAACTAACTCTATTCAAAATTAAACTAAATCATCATCTAGAAGAAAATCTGTCAAGTATTCCTCAAGCTCGACATTAATCGCTTTCTCCTTTCTCGTTTTAGGCAATATAGAAAAGGAGAGGGGCCCAAGTTTCTCGACATTCTCTCCATCGTTCAACGAGAGATCAGCAAACGAAACGTCAGTCACAGCGTGTTCCTACGGGCTCTACTAAAATCTTTAAACCCCCTGCAGTTCTTTTACGACGTGATCTCATGGTGCTGGTACCTGGTGGTCACCTTAACTCTAAAAACACCGATATTACTTATCCGAGAATTACAAGCGTTGAAATCACGTCACAAGCACTACCACTCGGACACTCTGGTTTCTATGCTATGGTGTTACGTTCCTTTGATATACCAAGCTAGCGTAGAGGTGATCTCTATTACGTGGATCGCCATAAAAGCGCCGAAAACGATCTTCGAAGAATTATTTCTGAAGCATCCACAAGCCAATCGGCTGCAGACCACGTCGCCATGCGGACGAAAAGTGGTTGCTTGGTCGGAGGAGGTGAAACTCGATGTTCTTCGAACAATCTCCATTATGACGGGGGCGACGGAGGCTGAAGTTTTGCTAGCAGCTATGGTGGACAGTCTCAAGGAGTATTTCCGTCATTCCAGCGTTAGAATACCAGACAATGTGCTCGCCACTGGTAAATTCGTGGGACAGAGAGCCGTGTTTATGCAGAATCACGAAGCCAGAGGCATTTTGTGTCTCGCACTTCCCACAAAGACACCGTTGTTCGAAGATGATCTAGTTGAAATTTTGCAGGTCCGTATGCCTTGCGTGAATCTATCAGATTAATTATTTTAATTAATCGGAGAGTGATGTTTTTTTTTAGACTGTTGAGTAATATTTCTTTTTTTTCTATTAAATTAATCGTTTGAATCAGTCGAGAAAGCTGGCTGTGATTACAATTGTTCGAAACTATTTAGTTTAGAGACATCCTATTAATTATTTTTAAATTTGAACGACATTAATTAATTGAAGAAGCGTCTCTACATATCTAATTGTTAATTAATTACCATACATACCAAGTAATTAATTAATTGAAGAAGCGTCTCTACATACCTAAATCTTTTCTAAATACCTAAATTAGGCATGTAAGCCGAAACAGTTCTAATTAAAATCGATAAAATTTTTAATTTAAACGATTTATCGCAATTTACACCAATTTTTTCAATGGCAAAGTAGAATAAAATTAACGTGAAATTTGTGGGACGAAAACAAACTACGTAATAACGATTCGCCCCCCGCGTTCGACCCAAATTTTTCTCGAATCAGTAATTTATTATGCTTGCTATCTCGAACAATACGAGCAACGTCAACGTTGCTCTCCAACCATAGGTCAGTAATCTGTTTATGTTTCTAGAATAGAGACATCGATTTCTATCACAGTTTTGTTTCCAGCTAATCTATTTATAGCGTTCGTTATCGTTCGAAAGTAGTATAATTGGTAAATGATGAAACGAGTGAGTATACGCTCTGTTTCAGATTATACAGAAAAATGTGCGCGAAGCAAGATCGAAGCAGAGTGCAATGTACGCCATAACTGCAGCCGAGGAGTCCTGCGGATTTCTCTCCTCTTGTTTGCCTTCGTTACTGCTCAAAGTGATACTAAATCAGTTAACGAGAAGGTATTCCCTGTCCTTGACACACGTCAACGGAGATCTGGCTGTAGAAGGTGTCGACGCGGTGATGTATTGGAGACCACCTCAAGGCAACTGCAGTAAATGTTCCATTAATCTTGATCTTTTATCGTGAAAACCGCGAATAATTAAGTGAAGGAGTAAATTAAGGTTTAAAGAGATTAAGAGATCCAGAACAACTAATTTTAACAGAAAAGAAAGTGAGAGGCTGTCGTTCAAATTAATTTCCATTAAATACGTAAGAACACGAGGAGAACGTTAATGAACAAAAACATTAATGAACAAGTTACGTAAGGATATCTAATCGTAGCAAGGCAACGATTGCATAATATCCTTGATAATTTAATTTTCTTGTATATATTCGTTTTACGCCGCGCGCACAATGCGTAGAAGATTACTTTTCATCGTTTCACTCGTTTACTGCGGGGGGGTTTATATTTTCAAAAATATAATGACAAAGATAGAACCTCTGTTGACAATTGTTTCACGTTATCAATTATTATAGAAACTACTGCACTTTGGATATTTTATAATATCTATTTTTTAGATATTTTGTAATTTCTTCATATGTGCATTCTGCGCAATTTTCCGCCCTTGAGTCTTCTATAAATTTATAAAAAATTCACAGTCTGGTGGCTCGATGATCCACGTGTCACATCGCTGAAAGGAAACGCGCACGATTTACGTACATTTTCAGTTCCTTTCTTTTTCTAGTTTTCGAATATTCTCAATGTGCGTCCACTTTTTCTTGCGGATCTTTTGTTTTCAGTGCTCATTAACAGCGGCTGTATGTTGGTCATTTTTTTAGATATGTCGATAACTCTACACAGGTACGGAAGCGGTGTGCGGCTGGGCGTGATGGGCGACGCGTTAATTGGCCCCGAGCACTCAATCATCACGAGGACTTTCCCGAAAAGCGTGGAGAATCTCGCGAACGTAGTCGGCGTTCCTAGAGTTCCCAGCAGAAGTTCAACTCCGAGTCCAGTTAATCCAAGCACTTCACCCGGACATTAAAAACGTATAACATTGAAAACGAATGCTGTATAAAATAGACGAGGCTTCGTTCGACGACCTCCTTCTTTCTTATAATTAGTCAAGTCCCGGCAAATCAAAAATTTCGTAGAAAGTTTCCTACTTTATAATAGAGTTAGTAATATTGTAGTGATATTACTAACTCGATTGTTTATTTATTATTATTATTAGTGTTATTTATTTTATTTTTTAAAATGTTAAAAGAATATAACATACATGTGTGTATATATATATATATATATATATATATATATGTTACATTTCTTTTAAATATTTTTTTTTTATTCACTCTTAGTTACACGTTTGCAATATTATATTAAAAACTAATTAATTTCGCTTATCACGCGTGTCTGACATTATCAGTGGTAATACGAAATGATTTTTCAGGTCACGTGTCCGTCTCCTGAGAAGATAAATTTTCATTCTTTTTCTGAGAGGTCGTGCGAAATTTCAAAGTCGAAAGTGAAACGAACTGGACGTCGTACTTTCAGAGAAGATTGAAGCACGTGGAGCCGCGTCGAATAATATTTATAATTATTTACGATTAATTTCATAGTCTTCATATTTAAATAAAGAAGAAATTTTCTAATTGTTTCGTCGGGAAGACATAAGCAAGAAACGAGAAACAAAAACTCTACCGATGATACATTCGTTATCGTGTTGTAAATTCGCGACGCAACGTTATTTCTGTCTCCGTCCTTTTTGATAGTTTTTTTTTTTTTTTTTTTTTTTTTTTTTTTTTTTTTTTTTTTTCACTTGTCCACATCGACAGAGTCTCAGAGTCTTCTTTTTCTTTTTCCGTCCATCGGCCAGCGTAGACATGCTGACAACAAACACTCGGGGCCCGGGTGTCGTGTTCTTCGAGCAGCCCGTCCGCCTTATGCAAGCGATTTTCGTTCAAGCCGAGCTTCATTATATCGGTGTTCGGTCAATTTTGCAACGTCGGTCGTTATTCGCTTTTTAAAACGCGCGAGGCTCGTCTATCGTCGAGTTACGTTTGCCCGTTTTTAAATTTTTATATATCGCTTATTTGCGAGCAAATACAGCGTGTAGATACTTCGTCTTGTGCTTGATATAACTTCATGGAACTTCGCGTTATTGACGCGTACGCTGTTATCTGTCCTTCACGATAGTTCGACGCTGTTCGTACTTCGTGCAAGCCAGTATCGGAGAAACAGGCTTTTACACGCTCGACGCGAATCAATCGTGTATATAACAGAGCAAATTCATCTTGACAATTTTAAACGATAATTAATTGCGGATAATTTCCATTCGTAATTATCGTTTTGGAAGATTTTTAACAGTCGTTTAAAAATACATTTGTTTCTGATTTATCGTTATCGTTTCTGAGAATATCAACGCTTTAGAACGAGAGAGAGAGAGAGAGAGAGAGCGCATGGTACATTGTACCGCGTGTATCCGTCGTCATTTTCAATATCTCATAATCTTCTTAATGTAGTTGCACTTTGCTCGACGCCGAGCTCTAGGAATAGCCGAGGCAGGATACGGGAACAGTTACGACCTGGGCCGGTATTGCTCGGGGCGATCGTGCAAGGACAGTACCGCTACAGGCGAATATCTTCCATTGCCGTTCCTTCCTTCTCTCGCAGGGATTTATCACGCGAAAAGTCCGCCTCTGCTGAAACGATCGACGAAACGACATGGAAAAATATACAGGCCGACGTAAATTGCTCGAATGTACTGTTAGACGCACGCCTGAAAGGGGGTAACTGTGTATTTGATCGTTTTTTTTTTTTTTTCTCTCGTAACATCGATCCCACCATGTTGACTCTCGTTCCCGATTATTATTGTCTATTTTTTTGCTAAATCGAAGTTGGAACAATTCGATGAACCGGGATTATTTTTATTCAGACACGTAATGTTTGATCGACGAAGCGACGAAGCCAAAGCTGTACCACTGACGCGGGCAATCCATCCGCGATGAATCCGCGTACACCGAATAGGAACGAAACCAAGCAATCCTTCCATCGTGAGGATCAACGACAGGATGACACTTGGCGTTTGAACACAGGCGCGAGAGGTCGTTGAATCCCATTAAGCGGTACTTCTTAGATCGTTTCTCGACCACCTGTACCTAACCCGTGTTGTAATCTCGTCGTCTTTTTCAATCGACGTCTTTCAGTGTCTCTCTCTCTCTCTCTCTCTCTCTCTTTCTTTTGTCTCTCCAATCTCTCCTTATCTTCTTCTCTTTTTCTATTCGACGCGTGTTCGAGCATCGACATCGAGAAAAGAAGAAGAAGAAGAAGAAGAAGTAGGAAAAAAGAAACGAATGACGAAGAAGAAGAGGGGTAGTAGCAATCAAGCAAGCAGCAGGATGAGAACGATTACGCCCGGATAGTCGGTTCTCCCTGTTTCTCTCCGGGCAACTCTGCGTATTTGCCGGTGAATATCGCGTATACGAGCAGCCGGAATATTGCATTCTCGTTTTCTTGTGTGGCCAACGCGGCCACACCTTTCACCAACACCCAACTGGCTGCCTAGGCTAGTCTCTCTAGCTTGGAGAACGCGCGATGGCTGTTGCTGCTTACCAGCCTGCCTGCCTGGTCTCTGTTGCTTGGCTCGTTCGCTGGTCATACAACTATACAGGCCGACGTATATCCCGTAGCTCTGTGCTTTTGCGCTTAGACACGGCTGGTTATGTATACTGCATGTACCGGCTAACAGTAAACTCTTCCACTTGGTTTCTCCAGCATCGGCCAGAGAGGAGACGCAAGAGCGCGGGCGAGGACGCGCCGGCGTTGATGAGCCGCAGGCGCGGCTCGCACCTCGCCGCTCCTCCGCCATTTTCTAGGATCTTTTCCTGTTTCGACGCTGCCACGACGTAGCCAGCCTCGCGAGCTTCTTACGTAATCGCGATTCTCGCATGCACGAGCGACGAATTGCACAGCGTTAAGTAATCCTCTCTCTCGGAGGTTAGTCGATCGATTTTTCGGGGAGAGTTTTTGGAAAAACGTCTGTGAAAAAAACGCGGGGTCGTAGGAATCGGAATTCTGAGTATTTCGGGGATAATAGCTCGGAGATCTTTAAATTCAAAATCTTTTAAATTAATTCCCAAGCTTCGTGGTCCTTTAGTTCTTATCTACTGGAGCAACTCTTCAGTCGTGTTACGCACGAATGTATAATCACATTCGAAGCTTCAGTATTTCTTTTGCTTTATCCCAAAAATGTCTCGAGCATTATCTCTAGCCTTCGCGAAGCTTCGAGATATTTCGCGACGAAATAGTAAAAAATAAAATAGATGGTAAAAAATAAATAGTAAAAATACCAAAAAAAAAAAATAGTATCAAGATAAAAAAAATAGTAAAAATACCAAGAAAGAAAAAAAAGATAGAAATTCGGAGTAATCCGAAAATCTCAAAATCTCCAATTATATAAAAAGCAAAAACCATTGCCACTTCGATTAACCACTTGCGCTGGCAACTGATTGCGGACCGTAACGAGTGGCCACAATCGTACACAATAAATTCGTCGCTTTCTTTTTGAGCTCGTCGGTGCGATGTCACTGGATCGAAATCATCGAGAACTAATAAATTTATTATTAATGTTTTGCCCGTGTATTTCAAATATATTTAAAACTGAGAGAATATTGCAATTTTCGGACAAAAAACTCTCGACGTGCGTAGGAAAAGATTGAGAACATTAAATGATAATGCAATAACAAAACATCCCCCATCTTCCAAACCTAGAGGTTTGGGTTAGATTTGGGTTAGATTTTAAAATTAATACAATCGCGGGATTTCCGTTCTCCTCTGTCGTCAGTCGTTTCCTTATCCGCGTTGGCAAGAACTTGGAAAAATTTCGTTTCCGTTCGGGGAACCCATCTCCGAGGTACCTACGCATCGGCCTGCTGCTGTCGTCAGTCATAGGGCAGGCAGATAGGCATACGGAGAGAAGCAAAAGCCCAGGCAGGCAGGCAGGCAGGCCAGGCAGGCAGAGTGTACAGTCGCCCGATTGCCTGACGAGGGGATTTCTCCGTTGTCGCTTCGACGAACCAGACAAAAGGAACCCGGAGCCGATAGCCGACTAGGGACCCTTCGCCCTTCGTTGTATAAAAGGTTCTAACCCTCATTCCCCTGCCGAGGGTATATACGGGCTGTTCTACTCCGAAATCAACAATACGGGCCAAACGCCCCGCGTCTATGGGACTTTCTCAGTTATGCCAGGGGCCCTAAAACCCTTGGCACAACTGCGCCGGAGATTTTCTTTTATTGTACAAACTGCACTAGCAATCATGTTTCACTTTCTTTGTTTTCACGTTCTTTCCTTTTGTTTAGAAACAATGTCGCGTGTCATTTGTGTGTTGGCGAGTTTCGCGTGATATTGATGGGGTGACTGCCTCTTTTCGTTTCGATGTCATAACATGTCATGATATATTATTAATTAATCCTCGCATGACTCCTCGGTGGCTGGGTCTGCGGTGACCCGTTTGAAGTTCTACTTTGTACCTAAGTTAGCCTGTTACGGCTACGATTTCGCAATAAAAAATGGGATCATTTTACGTTTCCAATAAGAAGTCAAATCGGTGACGAACGCACGTACGAGTCAGTTCTGAAGAAGTCATAGTGAATGGTCGGAATTGTATTTCAGTGCATTGTTTTTAGTATTTTTCATTGGTAGTATCCTTTATTCGTTTTGTAATATTTTTCATTTTTTGTATTCCTTAGTTTTTTTTTAGTACTTTTCATTTTTTTGCACTTTTTAGTCTTTTAGTGTTTTCCATTTTTTAAAACTTCAAGCTTTCAAACTGAAAACGATCGAGATTCGTTTTGTTTGCATAGGCAAACAGTTGCAATGACAACAGATATAGCGCTAAATGTAGCAGCTGTCAACAGCTTTCGTTTCTAGCAAACATAAATGCAATCCAACGTATTAGATATAACGAAAATAAATAATATTACGGTATTAATGTATTTATAGGTAGATAATACGCGCGATCGTGAAAGAGTCGTAGATTATTGACGTTGGAGGAGTTTCACTTTCGTCCAGGTTTCGTTCCACGAAAATAAAGTCATTGTTTGTGCCACGATGACGCGTCCCGCGTCGAATTCTTCGTTACCGTATGACGAATATGTGACTGATCATGGTTCGTGGTTCTTAGACCTCTGTGGACTATCGCTTTCTGCTGCCTCACTGCGCGGCTGCAGTAATTCCGCACGACCGTGAAGAAAAGAATTCAGAAACGCGGTCTTCACAGATTCGGGTTGCAAAGTTCACGACTGCCTGAAATCTTGGCTAGCTTCCTTTCACCAAGCCGTTTAACTTTGTCGTTTAAGCAACCTCGAAAGCCACAATTGAATCATTTGACACCGTTTGTCGAAAAATCCCCCGTTTTTACGCATACGGAGAACTCGATCAACTTGTAAAGGTAATTAACTGTCTGTATAGGACGAGAGAAACGGTGTGCTTGGCTCTCACAATCGGTATGATTCATCTCCGCGTTATCAACGTAAATTGAGCTACTTTCTTTAATCCTGCATCTTTTTTTTTTCTTTTTTGCTCTTTGTTTGTTGAACTAAGAGTAGAAACGTTACATGGAACTTCGAAAAGATTAAAAAATTAAGTCAACAGTTTTTGGAAAACTGTGAAACACAGTGTAAATAAAATGAGAAATAAAATTCGAGTTCCCACAGCCTCGACGCGATTCTCGAATTTAAATTGCATTTAAATCGTTTATTGAAAGCTTCGAAACGAGAAATTTTCGTATTTTCTTGAAACTTTCGAAACTTTCGAC